ACAATCACGTGATCTCGTGTTATGATACGAGATTTTTGTAAAATTATTTTCTAAAAATATTAAGTTTAAAAATTCCGTATACATTCCGTATGATTAATTTTTTCCGTATACATTAGTTTTTTAAAAAAATGTTCAAAAATGAATTGCTTATTAAATATACGGAATTTGTATACGGAATCTATAGAAACGTACATAAAATGTATACAAAACGTATCCTTTCCGTATACATATTTCTTATAGGGATTAATATTGATCTCCGATCTCTTTTTTAAACTTTTTTTTTTAACTTTTTTTTAACTTTTTTTTAACAATTCAATTCTGATAAATTTATTAATTACTTAAAAGCACCTTTATTAGAATTACTTTTAAAACGGGATGATTTTGCTTTGGATGAGATTATTATATGGTCCTACACGACTAACACGAGCTCCTAATATTCCTAAAGATGTTAACAAATAGAATAAAAGGCAATTTGCAACTATGAAAAGGATTCTTCATAAATATATCACATTAATAAGATTTTATCACATTTCTTCAGATGACTTTTCTTATAAAGGTTTACCTTATAATAAAAAGTTGTTTCCTAATTTATATTATATATACTGTATATATATATATATATATAAACAATTAGTTTATGAGATTACAGAGTATAATGTGAGTTTTAGGTAAACATTAACTACTAGTATACAACCTCCGAGGAAGCCAAAACTATTGGGTTCATCCCTTATTGAATTTCATCATTTCGTGTTGTTTGTCAGCTGGATTGATAAGAAAGATAATTTAAATTATAATTCTGTTATAATTTTAAATTACTTTATCGTGCAACTAGTAGGGATGGAACTCATGTTAGTAATTTTCATAATAAATGTGATAACAGAGGAGCAACTATTGTATAAATTGCAAAAGTTAAAGGAACGAACCAAATAATTGGCGGATACAATCCGCTTGTATGGGATTCGAATAATTCAATAAAACAACAAAAGATAGTTTTATAATTTCATTTGAAGATAAAAACTACATAAGTACTGCAATAATTAGTCGAGTCAAGAATGCAACTAGGTCAATATATTGTTATAGTAATAATGGACCAGCATTTGGACCTAATCAGGATTTATTTTACTTTATTTTTTATTTATTTCTATTTTAAAAAAAATGAATACAAATTAAAAAGCATGTAAAATTTTTAAGAAATTAAAATTTTATGTTATTTTTTAAATGCTATAAAAATTTTTAAGAAATTTTAAATCAGGGACATAAACGAAAAGTATTACACGTAAACAAATCTAAAGTTACACCTGATTCTAATTATATTTATTATATTGGTTCATGCACGCGTCAACACATGCATGGTTTGCAGTAGAATAGAAGTGTCCTACGCATACGCTTCGGACAATTACCGAATCTACAAATCAAATTTTCAAACTATTTTTTATAAATGTACAGAACAGTAATTTCATTGCATTGATTATAGTATTTATAAACTAAATTTGAGAGGACGGACGAAAACCATTATAAGTCCAGAGCAAAAAAAAAAAATTTTTACCAACTTATTTATCAAATTTTATATATACTAATAATAGTTTAGATTAAATTATTATAATTTGTTCGTCAAAACGTAGCAACGTAGCACAAACTTGTGAATTTAATTAATATACTGCATTCCCGTATCGCTGATCAAAATAACCCCTTACAATTCTGTATTACTATAACCTGTATTACTATGATACGACAGCATTTTTATCCCTATATAATTGCAGGACGTTCCTTTCTATTAATTAGAAAACAAAAATGAGTAGAAATTCACATATTAATCATAAAAATTGTTATAAACCAGAGCATGCCAAATTATGGTGTAAAGAATGTGTTCCGCATTGCATGATTGAAGGATGGACTAGTGGAAATGATGATATTGATGAATTTATCAAGGATACAATTTATAATGCAATGTATGATAAATATCATAAGTACCCATTATTTCTTGAATGGATACCATTTGATAGATTTGAAGATATAAAACAAATCGGGGAAGGTGGATTTTCCAAAGTATACTCTGCAACATGGATTGACGGTAAAGCAAAATATTTTAGGCAAAATGATGGAAACTGGAAAAAACTCGAGCCTGAACCTATGAAAATTGCTATGAAAAAATTAAATGGATCACAAAATATTTCAGCTGAATATTTAAATGAGGTATATTTTATTTTATACATATGTTTTTGTTATATCGGTTTTAAATCATTTTTTTTTTTAATTATAATTTTGTATAATAGCTTAAAGCACATTGGAGCTTGTACAACTTGAAAGTTATTCTTTAAAATTTTTTGGAATAACCAAAGATACAGAAACAAAAGAATTTATGATGATAATACAATTAGCAAATCAAGGAAATTTGAGACATGTTCTTTCAAATAATTTTAATAATCTTTCATGGGATTTTAAATTATTTTCATTATATTATATTGCATTTGACCTTAAAAATTTACATCAATTGGGATATTTTCATAAAGACTTTCATAGTGGAAATATATTACAAAACGATGAGTTTTCTTTTATTTCAGATTTTGGATTATCCGGGCCATCAAATGAACAAAAATCAGATAATAAAATATGTGGAGTATTACCATATATTGCTCCAGAAGTTTTGAATGGAGGACCATATACATTATCATCTGATGTTTATAGTTTTGGCGTAGTTATGACAGAATTATCGTCTGGAAAACCGCCTTTTTTTAAAAGGAAACATGATGTTAGCTTAGTATTAGAAATATGTAATGGTACTAGACCAGAATTTGGAAAAGGAACTCCTGACGTTTATAAGAAATTAGCCTATAGATGTATGGATGCTAATCCTGATCAAAGACCAACATCGGATGAATTAAATGAAACATTAAATTTTTGGTATTATTCTTATGATGATAATAATTATTATCAGGAAGAAGAAAGATTCGGTTATAAAGGAGAAAAGATTAAAGCTATGTTTGACGAGGCTGATAAAGAGATACCAAATATCTCAACTTTATATGAAAAGAACCCCGACGCAATATACGCTAGTAGAGTATTCACGTTTAATAATTTACCAAAACCCGTTAATTCATCAGTTATTACTTCATATCTTAATGATGAAGATGACAATAAAGGTAATATTTTTTTATTATTATGGCTATTACACTATAAGATTAACCCATAATTACTAATTTCTTATCATATCAATAGATTCTCAAGATTCTAAATTATTTGATTTAGAAATTCCTAACTAATAAATAGTTATTGGAGACATTTGACCGATATCCCCATCCAATAACTGAGTTATAGTTCAGTCATTAAAATACTGCAATGGCCAATAGCTACTAGTACTGATTTCAATATTGGATGTCTCATAAATTATCGGTTAATAAAATCCCCCATATTCTCAATCGGCTGAATTATAATTATACTCAATATTTTATTTCTTTTATAATCCTTGTATTTGTTGTGATTTTATTTAATTATTACTTATATTTACAGCATATATAATTTGATTAAAATAAATAAGAAAGTAGCAATTTAACAAATTATATATTAATAAATGCGTGGACCCCGTAAAATTGAGCGGTAATTACATTAGAAAAATTCCAATTTATATTACGATTTAAAAAAAAAATAGATTAATCCTTCCATTGAATTCATAATAATATTTAGGAAAAAATTAAAAATAAAAGAAATGATCAAAATCAATACAATAAATGTAATTTAATTCTTTATATTAATTAATTCAATTAATAAAAGAATTTTTCGTTTTTGTATTTTTATACGAGCGTTGATTTTAATATTACAAGTTAGCAATAATGAGTATAATCCAAAAATAACAAGATGGATGAAATCAAATATACTTTTCTAATTGATCTCTATGTCGCTATTATCGGGTGAAAGTATTGTTTTATAGAAATTACTAAATTACATTTAAACTATTTCTTTGTATTATTATATTTTAAAAATTTTTGCTTTAATATAATATCTCACTATTGCCAACTGCCTGTTCGGATAGAAATATAATTTGTTACTTACGTTCTTACATATAATATATAACATTCACAAACTCAGAAATGTCACAAGTTTTAACGGTGGAAGACGAAGAAAGCTAATTCTTTGATATATGTATGTAGAACTTGTGATTATGAAGAAGGAACAACTGAAGAAATCGATCCAGTATTATTAAAATTAATTACTTACAAAAACATTTATATAGAAAGTTCAAAGTCTCTAATACATAATAGTTAATAACTTTCAAAAATGAATATGACTAGTAATTCATTATATGATTTAAATTTCAAATTACTTAGTAACCCGATCATCTGTAACAAATTCAGTAAATGGTAAATGAATTGAGAAATAATTACTACCTTTTAGAAAGTTTTTTAAATCAAATTAAATGAACTAAATAAATTCAAAACTAAATCGGGAACAAATCTATCTACAACCAGTTATATATTATGGTGATTCGTCAAATAGCGCATAAAATGTTTCCAAATGGTTAATATTTAACAAAGTATCCTTAAGCATAGTTAATTAAATAATAAAATGTTCTTAAAAAGTTCCTTTCGAAATTACGAATAGCCTATAAAGTTGAAGTTAGCAAATGAAACTAGGTAACAGGAACTGTTGGAGCGGTATAATCACATGATCATTAATGTATAAATAAAATTAATTTGGTTTTGTTTACATCGCACTCACGCGTGTTAAAAAATAATATTTATTGACACAATATATTAGAATATACGGTCAGACAAGAACCTAAAATGGAGTGTACCTAATCACCTAATCATAAGTGTCCTACGCTTACGCTTTGGACAATTAAAATAGCTTTGAAAAAAAATGCCAATTTCTTATATACGGTGTTTTTTAAGATCGTGATTGCCTTCACGCTTACTAAAATGAATAAAAATATGGCATTGTTCGTGTTAACCGAAAGACCCTTTAACGATTGGTTATCGTTATCGTCATATAACTCCATTATTTGGTTCGTATTCTCAATCAAATTAATGGTAATAAAATAAAGCTAAGTGGTGGATATTTTCATTTTTGTGACAATATTGTATTATTTTGGCCAAATTTTTTAATGCCTGCCAGAATTAGGTTCACTTCGTTGTGTATGTGCTTACACTGCTTTGTACGAGATCCATACAAAATCTCGAATGTCAAAATCTCGAATGGTACGAAATCTCGAAAAATTGGCCGGCGCATAATGCTGCGCGGTTCGGGATTTTCGGGATTTTGAGCTTCGTGATTTCGTACACATGGATAACCATTTATTCTATTTAGGTATGACCCAATTTGATAGGTCAGCTCTGATTTCTAATTAAAAATGAAACAAAACTCTTAAGACTACTATATTTTCCACCTATTTGTAATAATAAACCTGTTAGATTGAATTTTCATATACTTATCGTTATTAATCATTTTTTTTTTTTGAAACTAGTCAATAGATGATGAATTATCCATATAAAAAATAAAAAAATTCAATTTTTACGCTTCTTCTATTCCTTATCTTTTAAAATGGTTTAATAAATACCGTTTGCCACCTCATTTTACGAAATCTCGGGGTTTGCAAATAATTTTTTTTTGATGAATTTTTTTCGCGTACTTCATTTTGAAAATGACGATATATCCATTCGATACTAACATATTTTAATACATAATATTTATCCCAAAGTTTCAAATAATTTTTTCATATAATTTTTACTTTTATTTGACGCCACACCAGATTTCAGATCCTTTGCAGCTGATGTATCAAATATCCTGACCCTATAATCCGATAGGACACTTTCCGATAGGCTCGATAATTCTTTGTGTTCTGGGTACTAACTACTGGTTGGAGACCAATAAGTAAAATCGCCAGGCATCTGTTTCTTTAATAATACTTCAATAAAAGATAGGACATGTTCCGATAAAAACTTGATAAAATTTTTGTGTTACTGTAACAATTTAAGTAGAAAATTTGAAATCATTTTGTCCAAATTTAGTTTCAAAGGTATCAAGTAACCCAATGACAATCAATTTTGGCAGTCGAGATTTGTCGATCAGGCCAATTAAATTAACTTGGCTGCGGCCAAGTACTGGAATCGTACCCCGAATTTTTCTTATAATAGTTTTTTCATTTACCAATAACTGCTTAAACTCGGACCGCAAGGAAACAATGAGAAATTTTTTTACTCATATTATTAATCTTTGATTCTATTTTAGGTATCGTGTTACATGAACAATTGTAGCAACATTGAAAATGTGTGTAACTTTTTTACATTTTTTTAAAAACCTTTATAGTAATTTTTGGTGAAAAAAACGGGATTTTTCAATATTTTTGAGGAAAAATTATGCGTGAAACGGTTACAAGACAATAATAATATTAAATCAACCATTTTTTTATGATAAGGAAAAAATTTACAACGTCAGTTAGTTGCGTGGAATTAAAACATCGAGCGGACAATTAAAAAAAGAAAGACTTATACATAAGTAGTAATAACTGAGAAAACTATTATATTAAAGTAGTTAGATCTTTATGATAATTAATTGTTTGAATTTAATTATACGTGATTTCTTTCTTAATATTAAGACGTGAACAATAATTTGAATTCCATTTATAAAAATTAATTACGAATTATTTTTATGTCATCATAAATCTTCATTATTTAAAAGTAAAATAATTTAAACGATTATAAATTTACTTTATATGTTTAAAATACTTTGAAATATATATATATTTTTTTTTTTGCATAAAAAATATGATTATTACATTCATGCTTTATTTAGGATAATAGTTTCCGAATTTTTATGACGACTAACTTAACTTTCATCACAAGAATCATGAAAAAAAGAACATGTTTCAAGAAAAAAAAAAATTATTAATAAATTTAAAAATTACTGAAATAAGATTTCAATATATTCTATTTTTAATTACTTTCTTTCATATGATGTAAAAGAATTTAAAGGATGAACGAATCCTATTACAATTAAATTACATACTAATGTCGTAACGTTTAGGATGAAAGATTCGAGTATTAAATTTCCTGATAACAAATTTATATAATCAATGTCGCAACGTTTAGGATGAAAGATTCGGGTATTAAATTTCCTATGATAACTTATATAATCAATGTCGTAACGTTTAGGATGAAAGATTCGGGTATTAAATTTCCTATGATAATAAAATTTATATAATCAAAAAAAATTTCTCGAATAATGAAAAAAAAACTATAAAAAAGAAAGCTTCCTCAGTAAAAAAAACGAAATCAAATTATTTCAAATCAAAGTTTTCTTGGATATAATGGGTAAAACTTTAAAGCAAAAATCCATTCGCTCTCGTAAACTTTCGAAATCTGGGTGTAAAATCCCCAACGCCTTTATTATTTTTTCGAATAAATTTTACGATAAATATTATCGAATCAATAAAACTAAAAGAACAATAGCCATGAAGCGGGCCAAATTAGTCTGGGACTCTATGTCGGCACAAGATAAGATCCCATATTATTGCCAATACGAACATCTAAGAAGTAGAGTAAATTGCAACCCACGCAATGAAATTATATTCGTTCTAAACGAGAACGGAGACAATCAATATAATAAACACGTCCTAAACGAGAACATAAACGACCAATACAATAAACTCGTCCTAAACGAAAACATAGACGATCAATGTAATAAACTTTTTGACGAATTTATTAACCAAGAGATGCTTCAGGACTGGATTTTGCCTTAAAGCAATATTGTGGAATAGGCTAAAACCGTTAGAATTTTTTAAGATTTAAGATTTAATTAAGCATAAATAAGTTCAAATTTAGACTTAAAATAAGGTTAAAGAAGTTAAAAATAAGGTTTAAATAAGATTGAAATAAGTTTAAAATAAGTTATAAATTAGTTTAAAGTATAAATAAGTTTAAAGTAAATTAGTTTAAAAATAAGCTATAAATAAGTTTAAAATTAAATTTACAAAAAATAAGCGAGAATTTTCATTAAGTAAATTGGTTTAATTATTCCTGGTTTATTAGGATAGGACATTGATTTATGTAAAATCCATATTTTAAGATAATCCCTAAATATAAAATATGATTCACCTCAAATTTTTATTCGTTACGAAGTTCTTTACACTTTTCTATTATGTGGTCACGTTATTTATGCAATAAAAAGTTTTATGATCTCGAAATTTTATTTCTTGAAGGTGAGCTTAAGATAAAGATTGCCATTATCTCGTGTGTCTCGTGAAAAAATGTTAACCATATTTGGATTCGATCAACGCATAATATTGTCATTTTACTAATTTTCGTTTATTCAGCATCCGATTATAAAATTTCAAATATGACGTTATCACTACCAATACTCATTCTATTTTTAATTATGTATGACGTTAAGTTAAATTTAATTTATAATTTACTTATTAGTATATTTGATATTTACAATTTTTACACTATAAAATTAAATAGGAATTGCTAAACATCGGGGCGATTGTAGCCTGGCTGCCTGGGGTGTCTTCGATCACGTGACAGATTCAATATTTTTGATTAAGATTGACCACTTGATCCTTTCGGTCTCAAGGTATTTTTCCTTTTTTCTTTTATTTTATTTTTAACTTACATTCTTACACTTTGTTTCTTACTAACTCTATTTCATTATTTTTAGGTCCTATAGTCCTTCCGGTTCTGCAATTAAGGTTCAGTTGTTTTTCACTTTACGTTTGTTTCTGTTTCATATTTCGGTTTTCACTAATTTTATTTATTTTTTTTAAAGTTCTTTCGAATCTATAATTAATAAAGGTATGTTTTTTATTTTTTATTTATTTATTTTTATTTCGTTTCTATCTTGTATTTTGTTTCTTACTAACTTCATTTTTTTTTTTACTTTATGGTTTTATTTTTTTACTTGGTTTACTATCATTACCCAACCTATCATGGTTATTTTTTTATTTTTTATCTCTCTTCATTTTCACCTCCTATTATTTCTCATTATTCCGCCCTTTTCGTCTCTCATTATTTTCTGTTACATCTTTTCATTTTCCATTATCTCTTTTTCTCTCCTGTTTACGCCCCATCACTTCTTTTTGTCTCCCATCACTCTTTCGTCTCTCATCACTCCTTTTCGTCTCCCATCATTTCCATCACTCCACTTCATCTTCCCATCACTTCTTTCGTCTCTTATCACTCCTATCATGTCCTATTTCTCTTTTTTGTTCCTATCACTTCTCATTACTCTTTTTTACTCCCTTTTATCTTCTATTACTTTCATTACTCCATTGTTATTTCATTTTTTTATTAGCATCTTTCTCCTTGATCATTGTAATTTACTTATCTTTTTTATTTATTGTTATTGTTTCTTTTATTTGTATCACTTCATTAAAATAAATACGGTGATTTTTTTCTTTTAAAATCGTAAATGAGTGATTTAAATTTTAATAAAATTTCATTAGATAAGATTATAATATATTTGCAAAAAAATTTTTTTTAAAATATTTTTTGCGATAAAATTTTAAGTTTAACCGATCAAAAATTAGCTAAGTTAAAAAAATCAGCCATCAGCCGATTAAATAAATTTACTCTATATATTGTACATCATGTGATATATTTGAAAAAAAAACCAGGCGATCGCCCAGGCGATGTTTAGCAATTCCCAAATAAATTATAATTCTTCGAATGTTTGTTCCGCAAAATCCTTATTATAAAATTTTACTTAACCTTATCGATTCTTTATAAGATTATTTAAATTTGAATAAATCTATATTTTTGAATAAACTCTTGATGAAGATTTTTATTTACTAAACGTGAATATCTCCTGATGACAGTTATCATATAACTACGAGACAATATTGCATTTTTGTAATTTAATTAGCGCTTACGATAACAGAGGTATAGTAAATATGCACAAATAATTAAGTTGAATTTGGAAGCTATTATTTACGTTATATATACGATGATGTTAATTTTATTAATTTGCAAACAATTATAATTTAATAATATCGAAGTTTTTCAAGTTTTTCAAATTTCAAGTTAAAAATATAGAATATATATATTATATATATTATATACAAATTATATTTTAAATAAATATAAAAGATAAAACGATTGTATTAGATGATTATCACGTGGGTTGACAGACCTCGATAAAAAAGTATGAAGAAGCTTCAAGCGTATGTATAGATCTTGGTGATTACAATTGTGGTTTTTTGTTTTGAATCCTAGTGCGAAGAGGTCTCTGTTGTGATGTCTAAGGGTGATTATCATCGTGTTGACTTTTTGATAGTTGGGTTTTTTGAAGAGAGCTCTATGTAAAATTTCTACTTATTCTCCAGATCCTTTCTTTCCGAAACCTTCTAGCGCGATAAAATCTTCTTTTGATATATAAACTCCCATTTTTTTCGTGCTTTTTCGATTGTTTTTCAAAAACTAACTTCTTTTGTTAATAATTAAAATTCTTATTTTGGCAGAATCTGATCTTGACCCTAGTTTTGAATTGTGTTCCTCGCAACGATTATTGTATTCTCGGCTCATTCAAAAAACCATTTTATATTACTACTATGTTTGATTTAAGTCTTATTCTAAACACAATGGTTTACCAACAAGACTTAGTGAAAATTTTCAATTTACAATTTGATAACTTTTATTCCGAGTAAGAAAATATAATTGCAAATAAATTTTTTAAACTAAGGTAGACGGGCAAATTCAAACCATTTTTAAATGAAGTTACTGTATATTTCAACCGACATAATGAAACTTTAACTGATAAATGTGAGCCTAAAATATTCTCCTTTAATTTTATTTGATATTATTAGTGAGATGATGCATGAAATTTCTCTAAAATTACTAAGTATACGAACCGGTAACTCATATCCAGGTCCTGTATGGCCACGTGATCATGATTACGATGAAAAATTTTGATAGGTAAAGCAAAAACTATGCATATAAATATAAATATACTAAATTTAAGCCGATCGGATTACTATAGTTATTCTAATTGGTTCGGAAAGTTTTATCCGAGATTTAACTTTATTAATATAGATCTTCAATTTCATTGTCTCTATTCTTTCTTGCGTAAAAAAAAAATTTTTTTTGTAAAAAATTTTGATATTAAGAAATTTCAATTTAAAATTATGTTGTATAATTTTGAATCTGAGGTACCTGAAGCGCTTGAACGATTACTTGAAACAGAAATGGATTATAATGTTATTATTCACACTGGAGAAGAACCTAATTTTAAAGAATTTCATGTGCACTCTATTATCTTACGCTGCAGGTCCGAATATTTCAATAACCTGTTTTCTACAGAAAATATTGAAAAAAGAGATGGAAAATATATAATTAAGAGACCAAATATTTCTCCTCAAGCTTTTGATATTATTATTAAGTGAGTATAGCTGCTGTACGTTATTGAAAATAAAATTTTTATACTCTTTTTTTATACATAAATAGACTTATTTCTATCACTTTCATATTAGGTACCTTTATACCGGTCAATTTGACATTACTGATAAAACTGGAGCCGATCTTATAGATTTTATGATTGCTTTTGGTGAATGTATGTTGAATGATTTGACTAAATTTACCGAAGACTTTATGTTTAGAAGCCAACAACAATTTTTGCAAGACGATCCAGTCGGAATTCTTCAAATTATTTACTGCTATAAAATATTTGCTAGGTTGCAAGAATATTGTTTGAATAAAATCTGTTCTGAACCAAAAATTTTATTCAGTTCTAATAAATTCACTCAACTATCCGTTCCTTTATTGGAAATTATTTTAAAGCGTGATGACTTAAACTTAAAAGAAATTGAAATTTGGGAAAGTTTGATCAAATGGGGATTAGCGCAAGAACATGTTTTTAATCGGGATGTCACTAGATGGAACCAAAATGATATTAATACCTTTAAAAAGATTGTTGACAAATTTATTCCTTTAATTAGATTTTATGATATTTCCACCAGAGATTACTTCAATAAAGTTAAACCCTACGAAGAAATTTTATCTAAAGAATTAAGAGATGATATTTTAAAATTTTATATGGTTCCTGAATACAAACCTGTATATACACCAAGGAATCCTAGATATATTAATGGCTCTATTATTATTGGTCAAGAACATTTTACAACTTTTGCAAATTGGATTGATAGAGAGGAAGAAAACACCAATTATATTGATATCCCTTATGAATTTATTCTTTTATATAGATCTAGTAGAGATGGAAATACAGCTGCAGCATTTCACGCCAAATGTGATAGAAAAGGAGCTACTATAGTTGTAGTAAGAATCGCAAATTCAGAACGAATAGTTGGAGGATATAATCCTCTTTTTTGGGATTCAGATGATTCAAGTTATATAGGTACTTATGTAGGTGGTAGTTTTATATTCTCATTTACGAATGAAAACGGCCTTCGGCGTGCGAATGTGGCATATAGTAACAATTGGCGAAGATCCGTATATAGTAGTCCAATAAATGGTCCAGGATTCGGTTATGGTGACTTATATGTAAATTATGTAAGAGAACCTAGCGTTTGGTATAGTGTTACATCTTGCTATCCTACAATTAATTTACCAAACACTATGAGTGTAGATGATTATGAAGTATTTCAGGTTATTAAAAAATCATTAGATTGATTGTATAAAAAAGTTAAGTTTAAATGTTTTATTCACTAAGACTTAAGACTCAACGCTTTAATGAGTTGAGAAAAAAGAATGAAATTCTTATTCTTTCGAATCGTTTTCATGAATATATTTAGTTGAATACTTGATTAAGCAGTTATTTTTGATGCAATGTCTCTGTCTAGTTTAATAGAATACAGCAGAAAGATGAAAATTTTTTATCATCTAGCAAATTTTAACGGAAATTTGTATTATGATATTAAATATTAAAATCCCACAATATTACAATATTTTTATCAGTTATTTTAATTTAATTCTTTCTGTTAACAATGTTGCCAGAAAGTAACGGTTTATTCTTATAACCAGCTACGCCTTTTTATGTTGACCACTTCAACGTCCTTTCACGTTGGTTTATCTATCGTCATAATAATTATTTATCATTGTTTATTTTCTGAATAAACGAATAAAACACATACGATAATTCATAATTTATGCTGATAAATAGTTTAGTTTAAGAATTTAAATTACTGTGTACTTTGAAATAAAATGGCAGAGATTACGAAATGAGTTGCAAAGTATTGTAACAACATTACAATAATCTATATTCATAAAAATTCGTGAGTAAAAAATTTGAAGTTTTTTACTTGAACGAAGATATATTGCGGTCACAGGTGTTTATCGTATATCCAGTAAAATTAACAATTTCATCCACGTATTTTTTTGTGACGTCTAAATTTTGGTTCAGTTTCGCGTAACATATATTTTTGAAAAAAGAACGAAAAAGAACAAGTGATCATTTTATTAAAAATTCATAGAAATAAAGTTACAATAAGTACATTTAAAAGATACATTTTATTAAATTTAATAAACAAATATACAAGAAAGAAAATAATTCAAGATATCATAGCTTGATAAAAAATTAATATCTAAGTTGTTTTATTTAATAAAAGTGCTAAAATTATGCTGTAAGGACTAAACAATTTTACTTAAGCTTTCTAGACCTATTTCATTCAACTAAAGTACTGAAATTACGCAATAAAATTGAAAATAAATGAAAGTTAATTTATTAAACAAATATCCATTTTGCAATATGTTTTAAAACCAATATTAATAAATGGGCATTTTCATAGCAGAATTTCGGTACAAAAGCCTTATTAAAATAAGATTCATTATAAAACTAGAGTGTACTATAAAATCAACAAAAAATGAGTTTATTGTAACAATAAAAAGTGTATACATTTGCAACAATATTCTATGCATAAGTTTTTTTTAAAAATATTTTAATATGAAAAAAAGGAAGGGTATACAAACTAGCAATCATACACTTCGAAGACAAAACGACTGTTGATTATTTATGCAACACAGATAAATGGAGCTTTATTGATAGAAAATTTTTACGTAAGAATTGTCCCAGGTAACATAAACCACCTAGAATACAAAAAGAAACAACATATTCATATAAAACCACTGGAATACCGAATACCTTTAAACGCAGATGCACGGGATTTGGGACCAATAATCCAATACGTTAAAGGACAAACCTGTACCTTTACCCAAACAAACAGATTATTATGTACTAAATCGACGAATAGTCGAATACCAATGCAAAAGATGATAAAATCAGAAAAACCACCTTTTCAACAATACATTATACATATATCCTAACAAATTCAAAGGCAACATTTGTAACATATGCGGACAACACACTCATACTTACACATAACCAAAAACAAATTATTATTATTCACGATAATAATGGTTGCAACAAAGGATCAGGAGTAGCCATCATACTTACAAATAAATTATACTCACACGTTGGCGAATTCTAACTATTACATTAGGATTCAAAAAGAAAAATAGTTAAATATTATTTCCCTGTTACTTGCCGGTTAACACTAAAGATTCTAAACTTCAAATCGATTGTACTAAAGAACTATCAAATATAATTACATCACAAATCATCAACAATAATAAAAATAATGACTATAACATTATCATTGGGACTTTAATTGCCACAACAAAGACAAATCCAATTTAAATTATATAAATCGTTACATCATCATTTTGAAAACGATCCACCGCTTACTCATCAAACACAGTACCAATTCTGCAATACATCTCAACAACAGAATTTTTAACGGATTATAAAATAATAACAACGCAAACCGACCGTTCCTTTTTCTTCAAAAACGATAAAAATACACTACCTAGACAAAAATGAGTAGACCTTATTTTTTTATTAATTGCTCGATAACATACATAACAATATTACTTGAATTTTAATCTATAATAAATTAAGCATTAAAGAATTTGCTAATTTTCATACAACTACAGTATATTAATTAAAAGTTATAGAAACATATTTTTTTAATGTTTATCTAAATTAATAAAAGGTTTATAATTTTCTCAATATGAAAGCAATTGTTTTGGAGAATAGGCATGTGAATTATTATATTTTTACCTTTCCTAGAAAATTAGTAATTAAAAAAATAATAAAATTATTAAATTTTTTTAAGCCAATATCAAAAATGTATAATTTTTTAATTTTTAATAAATATAATTATATTGAAGTTAGCAATATGAAACTTTGTATATATGTTTTTTAGTGCTTGTTTTATTATATATTAAAATTTGAAATAATATTATTATGTTTTTGAGTAATTAGAGTCCCGTTACTTTTGTCCAGGTGGTGTATTTAATTAGTACGGTGGAAGAGACAACTCTAACACAAACCAACTCAAACCACGTGACTATAAAAAAATGAATCATTCACTTGGAATACAAAGTACAAAAAACTCTTTCCTTAACGAAGTTGGTCGTTTATTTTACCATTAAATATAACAAAAACTTTCGTTTTCATTAAACTAGAAGGATTTTAACATAACTACAACATATTTTATGATTTTTCACAACCACCCACACTACTTTATATTTTCTTTGCCATATTTTTCTTCCTGTTGCTCTTCGTGCCTAAAAGTTAAGAACAATCTTTGACTTTCTCGGTGCTATTACCATTATAGAACCATTTCTTCTTTCCTAACAGCTACACGAAGTCCTCCCGAAGTTTCTTATGTCCGAAGATACCAAGTCTAAAGCCAACAGAGGCCTCCTTCGACTATATATCGTCACAAGACTTTGCCCTTACACAAAGTGTGATAAACGTGGAAGCGGCACACTGTATGACTTCAAAAAAGCAAGATATTGCCTTTTACATTTAACCATCACCACAGATCTACCCCTGTCGCATAAAATTAGTTCGCTGTCTGTACAGAATTATTATCGCTAATAAACCCAATCTCAATCACATAATAGGGACATCTGTCTTTTCCATCAATCGTCAATTCTCAAAAGAAATAGTTACCAAATATTTCAATCAAATACGCTATTGGGTTCTCAAAAATAGAACTTACATCTGAAGCAGATAATTACTGCAGAACTAAAACTTTTATCCGGTTCAGTTCTGGAAAGCACGTGATTTACCTCTGATTTTATTACCGTTGCAATATGAATCTATCTAGTGAATTTATTATTACCAGCGTGGTAATATTTTTATTTTTTATTTTTATTTAACAGTAATAGTTAGCGAATACAAATTTTATAAACCAGCGTGGTAATATTTACGCTTATTCTTTCAATACCAAACGAATCAACCCATACGTGGTTAGGGACACACGTGGTAGTGGCACTCTGTATAACACTAAGAGAAGTAGATACTTCCTTCTTCAGCTAGCACCAAATGCTGATCTCAATCTAACAAAGGAAAGTTTTTTCAACGTCTGCACCAATGATAGTGAAATGACTAATGATCACCAAAGGATCTTCAATTCAACCAGTAAAAAAGTGAACCTCAATTACTTAATAGGGACCTACCTCACCTTCGTCTTTGCTATTAATCGACAATTTGCACCAGCTGTTGTAAAAAAATATTTCAAACGCTTATGCCAACTATTATTAAATAAAATGTTGGCGATTAAAAATAGAATTTCTCAGAAAACTAAAAATAGACAAACTAAAACTTTTATTCGTTTTAGTTCTGGAGCTCACGTGACTTAGGATATTATTTTCCCTGCGATAGTCATTGTAACCAACTGGCGGCCTTTATTCTTTTACAAAATCGATGGAAATGCAATAACCATCTTGGCCTTCTATCAAGACATACACCTAATAAAGGCAAACAACGAGAAGGAAAACTTCCTCAAAATCCTAGTTTTTATTATCAAAATTTAAGTCACGTGCCTTATAATCATGGGAAATCAGTTTTTTCAACACGCTTAGGTATTACCTATGATGTCTCCATTAAACGATACAATGAATGGAGAGGGAAAGACCCTTATTTGAAACAAGTAATGGAACCTACCACCAAGACTACAAAAGATGGCATATCTAAAACACGCCTTTACTACAAAGAATATGACAACTTTAAGGTCAATGATGTTAGAACCCACAACAAGTGAAACGTTGGACTCGTTTAAAGAAACTGGCCACTGATTTAGAACAATATTATTATTACTGGCCTGCGACTCTTTTGTTAAAAGATAATTCTATGGTGTTTAAGAAATTAGTCCATTTAGTGGACTGTACCCCTTCCATAAGTCCGATTTGGACAAAAGGATTAAAAAACACACTCAGAAACTGGCCAAAAATTGGGCTCGCCACATTAAAAAGCATAATAAACTCAAGAAACATTTACCTGACTTACCACCAAACTTCAATGGAAACCCCTGTTCTTATTATCATCAAACATATAACATCAACTTATATGCTTACAAAGTGAGACGCCGATTTGACGTATCCAGTATCTCTCATTTCAATTACGGTTATTCAAAAGCCAAGAAGCTCTATAACAGACATCAAAAATATCTACGTTCTAATCCTCCTGTTGCGAATCTTCTACATCAAAAAAGATTTGACGACAAATTTCTTACCGCTCTTCCAGATAGCTAAGTAAGACTCTATATTAAAGAAATGAATGCTTCTTCTAATGTCATACTGTCTACTGATCCTAACGAATCATACAAGGATTTCACCTCACGTCCCATAGTGCGAATTCAAAAAAGAAGAAATATTTTCGCGCCTACATTTGGGCAAGTTCTAATTAATCCCTCAACAACTAATATGAGTACTTTGAATCAAGACAATACTCGTCTTTGTCTTGAGACTCCTCCACCAGAACCTATCAGACCTAATTGTGATTTTACTCCAAAGCCTATTGTACGGCCTCGATCGAGAAATGAGTATACTCCACCCACGCCTGGGCAATATTAACTTTTATAATTTTTTTTTTTAAACATATACATATAGTAGTATTTTTTGTTCGTCTTTTTTTTTTATTATTTGTTCTTATACTTAAAAAACAATCATGGACCTATATATATTACATTATTTTGTATATGACAGTATTTACATACAATAACTAGTATTTGTTAGTTAAAAGAAAAATGGTGATAGACTTGAACTCCTTTTTTTGTTTTGTTCATCCTTGAATTCATCGTTTATTCCCATGTTGGTAGTAGCATAGGATTAAACTAGATACTTTTTATATAGAAGTTCGGGTCCATTATGTAATGGATGATAGTAAGAAGTAGGATAAAATCCCTTTCGAGGGTATATATCCTGTTTAATTATCTATCCAAACTTCACAAAAAATAAATAAATAAATCTAGTGAATTTATTAATTGTGGGGTGCAGTATTATATTTATTTAAGTGTATAAATTTTTAAGTTTTTTTTATTTACTGCAGTCCGGAATTGACCTTAAACTATCGTCAATACCATCAATATCATCAAATAGGGTTTATTTGGAATTAATGTGGTCCGCAATGACGTAAAACTATTTTTGTAAATTATTGGTTAAGTAAATATTTCTAATTTGAAATTATAGAAATAATTTGACATTTTATTTAGATCAGAAAGTTATATGGTGAATTGCCATACGTGAAAGGGTATAAATAGGAGTGTTAGACAAGGAATTAGAAAAATGCCAAAGAAATTCATTGTAACTGCCTAGGGATTAGTTACACCAGAAAATATAACTCTAGTTTAGGAGATCATAACTCTGAGTTAAAAAAAATTATAGTCAATCCTACTGATAAAGACAACATTAGAACAGGACGTATTTATTACAAAAAATACTCCAAACTTAAATTCGATATTGTTAGATTACCTTAACAAACAACACGATGGAACTGTCTCACACAAAGCGTACTCAAACAAGAAAACCACTGGGGAAATCTCAAACCCTATATCTTAAATAGCCCAACATCACATCTACCCAACCCTACTGTTTTAAACAGATTCAACATTTACCACAGAAATACATATTAGGCTACAAATGACAACTATTATATTATAGGTATTGGCTCGGTGAATTCAAAAAAGACAAACAACAAGCGAAAACTGGTTGCACCATATTGAAAAAGTGTAATAAAAAGAAAAAATCTCTACCTCTTTTACCTCCAGGTACTTCTGGCAACCCTTTTTTCTATTATCGTGATACTTACAATATCAATCTCTTTGACTATAAACCAAGATGCCGTTTTGACGTCAGCTCTATCACTCAGTACAACTACAGATATTGGAAACTATACAACTCAGACAATGTTATCTGAAACGTTCAACTCTATATATAGAAGACATTACGTGAGGGCAATACACCAGTTAGAACCTTTTACAAAATCTTACTCAAATAGAATCTCTAAAGAAAAAGAATATTTTATACATGGATCAAACTTGCGACAAGTGATGGATGTTACTTGCTTACATGGAAAGAAATCAAAATCAATAACAAACGCAATTATAAGGATAAAATCCCTTCATGGTTCATGGAACTTGAAGAAAACCATATTCTCAGCAACCACCGAAGATTATCAAAACCGCTTTGTGACCACCAGTTATTCGACTTCAAAACCACAAATCACCCAAATTAAAATCCAACAAAAACTTTATTTCCGACAAATGAATGGTCTCATCATGGGAAATCTCTATCACAAGACTCCACAAGTGATTTGTCAATCACACATATAGAACACAATCAAAATTATACTAATCCAAACACCACGCCGTGATAACTTAACCAAATGCAATGGTTGCCATTTAAACTCATACTATCTGCACAATTTTGCACCCTAAATGCGTGATCACTAAGAATTTATTATTATTTAGAATCTTCAACAGAAGTTCTACTGAATACAAATACTTCAAGCAACGAATTGACAAACCTTTCCAAGTCTCTGCAAACCTTTACACAGTCTCAAATTTATTGCATTCCACTCATACAAATTGAAGCACAGCATTATCGCACCTGTGCCTCAAAGACTGTATCAAACTCATGCGATGACAACAAACTACAAATTAAAACATACTGTAGGTTCTGCAGATTGTAGATCAGGTTTAGGATGGATACAAACAAGCCCATCGGCACCAAAAATTTCATTCAACGGAAGTACTAAATTCTTACCATCATCAACGAAATCTGAATCTCACCGCCTTAATTAATAATTACACTCCTCACAGGCATATATAGTGATTCCGCAAATTGTATACATGCATTCAACAAATATATCACACATCAAATATTAGTACCAGATGACAATTAAAAATTAATAATTTTTTAATATGGAAACTCATATTTTTACTTATTCAACAAAACAACCTTATCATATATTCATATCTCTATATAAAGTCCAAGCGCTCGCCAATGATAATTACAACAATGAAGCTGACCAACTGGCAAAAAAAAGAATGTCTAACTACAGACAATAGGACAATTTATATATTATTGACAGAAATGTCAGAACATGGAGTAATACCCTCTCTAAGCACGAGATTATCCAAGTTTTAACAAATACGAAGAAATATTAAAAAATATTTTGACAAACAATAGTGACAGCTCATTCACATCAGACATACCCTACCGAGTCAATAATTCATCATTGTTTAAGAATATTAACGAGGCATCTAATGAATGACCGATCTTTGATCACGATCACCCAGTATTCCTATTAATTCACCATATAATACCAACATATTATCTTTCTTATTCCACAACTATTTTGGTAAACACAAATTATGTACAAAGATTTTTCTTCAATATATCTACTTTTTTCACAAAGACCTACAAGAGGCGACATGGCATAAATGCCAGACAGCGTTCAAAACTAGGAAAAGAGTATGAATATCACAAAAAAAAAAATTAATTATGGATCTCAATACCCGTCTCACAAAAAAAGGATGCTGGTGATTTCCTCCGGCATATACAGTATTAAGGACCACGATAACTACTTCGACACACAGGCCCATATTAGATGGTACTCGTCAAATTTTTTGCATTCAGGTAGTTGGTTTTCTTATAGAGATGCATTGTTGTTCGACGATCACAATATAACAATAGATTCTTTTTCTTACAATGAAATTTTATCAAATTTTACTATTTAATTTTATTTTTTATACAATATATATAGGATTTTTGTTTTTTTATATATTTAGTTTATTTTTCTTTCTTTCTTTCTTTCTTGCAAACCGTCTTTAGATTCCAGTGAGTCAACTGGCACTTTATTTGGTATAAAGTGGTCTTAGGGAGACGTAGTTATTCAGTTTATACACTCGGAAGCATAAAAAAAATAATAATAATAAAAATAACTTGAAAAAAATCTGTAGATAACTAAATATACAATTTTGTATATTTACACTTAGAAAAATTATATGGGTCTAAAAAAGTTGTGCGTATTTTATATAAATAAGTGGTTTCAGTAATCTATACTACTTTATAATATTATACTATCATAAAGTCCTGAATATAAGCACATCAGTAGTAGGTTTTTTGGCATGCATTTGGGTCCATTAAATATAACAGGTATTAAAAAAAAAAACATTTTTCTTAGGCCTATTTATGTATATAATAAATACCAAAATACTGATTATATTTTAATAACCTGAAATACTTCATAATCATCTACATTTGTACAGTTCGGTATGTTAATTGTAGGATAAGATGATGATCCATCATGGTACCAATTGTAAGGATCATCATCATAATTTATATATAAATCATTTAAACCAAATACTGGACCACAATATGAATAACATTGAATAGAATGATCATTATTTTGACTGTAAACTACATTTGCAGTCTGAAGGTTACTTCTATATGAAAATGAAAAAATAAAACTATCATTTGTTTGCTTTCTACTATTACTTGAATCCCATTTAAGTGGATTATATCCTCCAACTATTTGTTCTGAATTAGTAATTTTTACTACAACTATAGTAGCTCCTTTATCATCACATTTAGCGTGAAATGCTGCAGCTGTATTTCCATCTCTGCTAGCTCTATATAAAAGATTAAATTTATAAGGAATATCATTAATATATGTGACGTTTTCTTTCATTTTATCAATCCAATTTGCAAAAATTGTAAGCTGTTTCCGATTGATCATAATGGAGTCAATATAAAGATGTCTTGGCGTATATATAGGTTTGTATTCAGAAATCATATAAGATTTTAAAATATCATCTCTTAATTCTTTAGGTAAAATTTCTTCGTAGGGTTTAACTTTATTGAAGTAATCTCTAGCGGATATATCGTAAAATCTAATTAAAGGAATAAATTTGTCAAGAATCTTTTTAAAGGTATTAATATCATTTTGGTTCCATCTAGTGACGTTTTTATTAAGAGTTTGTTCTTGCGCCAATCCCCATTTGATTAAATTATCCCAAATTTCAATTTCTTCTAATTTCAAGTCATCACGCTTTAAAATAATTTCCAATAAAGGAGCAGGTAATTGAGTGAATTTATCAGATTCGAATAAATTATTTGAATCAGAACAGATTCTATCCAAACAATATTTTTGCAACTCAACAAATGTTTTACGACAATAAATAATTTGAAGAATTCCGACTGGGTCATTTTGCAAAAATTGTTGTTGTTCTTTAACAATAAAGTCTTCGGTAAGTTTAGATAATTTTTCCAACATACATTCATCAGAAGCAATCATAAGATCTAAAAGTTCGGTTCCAGTTTCGTTAGTAATGTTAATTTTACCGGTATAAAAGTACCTATATGAAGTAATAGAAATAAGTCTATTATAAAAATTTTATTTTTAGAGACATGCAGCTACTCACTTAAGAATAATGTCAAAAGCTTGAGGAGAAATATTTGGTCTCTTAATTATATATTTTCCATCACTTTCTTCAATATTTTTTGTAGAAAACAGGTTATTGAAATATTCGGACCTACAGCGTAAGATAATAGAATGCGCATGAAATTCTTTTGAATTAGGTTCTTTTCCAATGTGAACAATAACATTATAATCCGTTTCTGTTACAAGTAATTGTCCAAGCGCTTCAGTTACTTTAGATATAAAATTATGCGACATATTTTTAAATTGAAATTCCTTAATATCAAAATTTTTTTTTTAAAAAAAATTTTTTTTTTTTTACGCAAGAAGGAGTTGAGACAATGAAATTGAAGATCTATATTAATAAAGTTAAATCCCGGATAAAACTCTCCGAACCAATTAGAATGATTATAATAATTAATAATTCTATAATTTCCGATCGGCTTAAATTCAGCCTAAGATATATTTCTTTTGCTCTATCTAATAAAGTTTTCTTCGAAACCATAATCATGTGACTATGCGAAACCTCAACAAATCCTTAAAATTCTGAATCATTTAATTGTTGCACTATAATTGATGGAGTTATAGAATTATTCGCAAATAATGCAAAAAGATTTAATAATAATGTTTGTTACTTATATTTAAGTGTAAGCGTATCTCGCTATCGCATTAGTAAAAAAAAATAATAGTCTTACTGTATGTAATGCGAATTCTAAAATAAATGTTGTTATTAGTTTATTCTGAAAGTTTCTTGTATATTTTATTAAGTTATATTTATCATAATTCATTCCTAACAGTAAATTAGTAATGATCAAAATGGCAAAATTCAATGATAGTCAAATATTAAATGATATTCGATCATTTGGCATTAACTAATTTTTTGATAAACTTAAAGGAAATTTTTATAAGTCCATCGCTAAATTTGATCTTTCTTGCAAGATAAAAATTTCATTTTAAAAATTGTCCAAAGTAATTATTTGATTTATATTTTTGTTAATAGATTTATTATAACTGAATATATATAATATATATATATTAAATATTATAAAAGATATTTAGCATGAAATAAATGTTGCAGCTGTATTGCCATCTTTACTAAGATCAAATTAGTAGTTAAGCTTTCCTTTTTTCTATCTATACAATTTGCAAAATTGGCAGAGTCATAATATTTCAGGTTTAAAACAGATCGTTATCAAACAAAATTCTTTTAAATTATTAAAAAATTTAAGAGATTTGAGATAACAAACCTTTTGAAGAATTTCAATGGAAGAATCTTGACAACCTATTTTGAGATTTAAACTATTATATGTAAATAAAAAAAAGTTAATTTTATTATTATAAATTAAAAAGAAAATTGTAATTTCTTCTTAAAGAGGCACCGATGTACGAGATTTATATATCGAAATTAATTAATATTATATCATCTTAATATTATATCATCTTACATTATTAAATTTTTTATCCTCGTTGACATAAGGTACAGTATATAAAAAATTATGCCAATTTTTTTTTTTTGTAGCAAACCACAAAGTATTTCAAAATATAAATCTAATAATTAGTATAAATAATGAAATTCAAGTAGAATCTGAATTAATAACTAAATTTTTCTGACAATCACTGGTCGAAATGAGGGGATCTGCATGAAATTTACAACCGAGAAATTTTATATACATGGCCCATTTACCAGCAATTTCAATTAAATCTAATAAGAATTTATGTCATGGAAATTAGTTGTAAACTTGTCCAATTTCCATAGGATTTATATACCATTTGAAATTAGCAAATTTCCACAATAATAAATTCACTTGAAATTACAATAAATTTTGTTTATATGTCATTTACATTTATGGTATATTGAGGCGCAATTTTATAAATCATAAGGAAATATAAATGAAATTCAATTTGTATTTGCGAATATGTAGTTGATATATTAATAATAAATGTATTAGAAATTATTATTACACTATAAAGAAATGTCAATAAAATTCCATTTATATTTGAAATATAATTAAGGAATACTAACGAAGTCAATTAATAATAGATATAATAAATATACAGTATAATATATTCTCTATATATCAATATCTAGTATAAGTATCGTGATCACGAACCAATGCAATTGAAACTATTCACGGCGTAACCGATCAACTAATCAATCTGTGCGACTGAGAAAAAAATTTTAACTGGTGGTGGTATGCGATAATATGATATAAATCTTCAGAAGGATCCCCATTGAAATAAATGGCCTGTGATTGCATACGCCTATTGAATATCAAGAGGAATGTTGTTAATTAGCGATCCCAGCAGCTTGCAGTTTGAAGCGTGTTAACTGGTCCATTCATGAGCTATAGAATTAAACTGACCACTAAGAATAATGAAACAATTGAAAGTGATGTTTTGCCATTTTTTTATTTTTAAATACATTTTCTTGAGTGAGTGGCAAACCTTTTTTGTTTGGTGATCTCTTTTTGCGAAACATCTAATTCCTGACGATCTTAGAATTGCAAAGTTTTCATGTCTTCATAACAGTTTGATATTATTGATTGTTCTTAGGCATTTTTTCTCACATTTATTTTGGAAAAATAAATAGAGGTACCGGTTCATTTACTGTAGCAAAATAAAATGTCACACAGAGATCGCATTGCATCTGCATCATAGATGCAACTGGTGTGAAGAATCTTCACGATTAAAAATCATGTGAACGATAGAACAAAAAACAAAAAAAAAAGCCAAAATAAGTAAGATAACTTATCTTTTCCATAAAGACACAAACTAAAACTAAAAAAAGAATAATAGCGAAGTTCCACTTCTCACATTTGCTATTCTCCTAGAATCTCATGGCGGAATTAAATCTTAATTAAACATACAAAATTAGTATGAGTAAAATTACATAGTTTACTTTAGAACGTATTAAATTCATGAAAAGAAAAACTTACACTTTACCAAGCTACTGCATCACTAAAACAAATGATTATTCATTTCAAACCCAAGAGAAAACGAACCTAAGATATATTCAAAAGTTTCATAATTAAATTTAATGCGTTTCTGCGTGAACCTAAGACAGAGGAAATTTAATAAATAATTAGAAATCAGTAATACTTGGTAATTGAATTAAGAAGGGAAAAAAATTAATAATTAGTAATTAGTAGGAATTGGTTAGGTGTAGGAGTGCTTTGGGAACGTAAGAGTGACGATCAGGGAACCTTATTCTCAAGTCTCGTGCTTGCATGAAAAAATTTTTTCGAGAAACAAATTTAGGTGCCCTGTCGGATCTCATTGGTTTGGATGAAGAACGTAGGAGTGGATCGGGGAATTTACTAATATTTGATTTTATAGGTCGGAAGGGTTGCGGGTCCTTGAGGTTGGAAAAGGTCGGGCTACCCGTTAACGAGTAGGAATCTTTCGTTAGACTTAGTCAGTGTTTCCGTTTTACTGAGGGGATTCGCCTATATTGGTTTGGAGAGATTAGTTATAGGTTTGTAGTGTTTTTTGTGAATTTTTGTATTAGGATAGATTATTTTTTGTTATAGAGGCATTTTGTGTTGCACGAATGAATCTAGGTATTTCTGTAAATTGATGTGACTATCCTAAATTAATAAAGAAATGCGTTACAAACCCTGTAAAAAATCTGATCCGTGTTTTATCTTTCCATGTTTTTTCCATGAATGTATCATTTTCATGGAATTAATAGCCTTAAATCATGGAAATTTTCATCTCGCTAACACGGATATCTGTGAATGTATCATTTTCACGGAATTTTTACGAAAGACATGGAGAAATAATGGAAATATTCGGATAAAAATTTTTTATAGGGAAAAAAAAAAAATAAAAAAATAATTAGTAATTAGTAATAAAGGAAATAATTAGTTTAAATAAACTAGGGAACGGAAACTGTTGTTAAGTCCGGAGTAACCTACCAAGTGACTTTTTATGCAGCCAATCAGCATAGACTAAATTATCAAGTGGGCGGACATCTGGACATCTTGAGTTATACTGCGTAGAATTATATAGTCCTTCGCTATACCCCGGACTAATAAAAATCGCTAGAAATAAAATTAGTAAAAAAATTATATTCAACTTTGGCGCTACTTATCATTTCCAGGAGAAACCATGTGAAAGGACCTAAAAGAAGCAATTGTCATTAAAATCAGTCTGTACAACTGACCCGTGTGACCAAACTGAAGACCTAGAAAAGTAATTAATTAGAAAAAAGCAAAGTAATGAATTTTTCATGTGCTGCTTAATTATTTTGCGTTTATCTTTGCAGTAAATAAAGCTGATGACATCGTGGACTTCACAATAGAATAATTCTTAACGACAAAATGTTTTTCTTGAGACAAGCGCACTTTTGCATTTGTCACATAACTTTATAAATTTCAATATAAATATTAACAAGAAAGTTAATGTTGATATTTTATTATTTAATCAAATTTTTGTGTTTTTATGAGAAAGAGAATAAAAGTTTGTTTAATTTAAATTTTAAAAGATATATATCGATTATATCGTGAACGAATGCCGATCATTCCTATATTAATCTAACAATAGAAAAGTTTCTCCACTATTAAATACAATAAGTTAAAAAAGGAGTAAAGGAGTTTATTTCATTAATGAATTTATTGAATAATCTGATTGGCTAAAGCGAAGCAAAGGAGCCTACGCAATAGGTGTTTCTCTGTCATGTCACATGTACACACACCAATAAAAATTTGTGGTTCTCAATAAACACTTTACATAATAAAGAGTTATCATATTTAAATAAATGATGTTAAATTTTATTGTTAAATTTGTTAAAGATTTATTTGAAATTTATACACTATAAATCAATCAATTGGATTTCCACTTATTAAATTTACGATAAATTTCACCATTTCAATCCGTAAGTCTAATTTAATGGAAATTTCTTAATGGCGCTCAAAATGAGTAAATGTGCTGGCAATTTCCGAGCTATAAATTTCATGCAGATCCCCCCCACTTCGACCAGTGAATGATTCAAATTTAGTATATATAGATCATAATAATTGTAATCCATGGTGTAAAGAATGTGTTCCTCGTTGTTGATTGAAGGATGGACCAATGGGAATAATTATATAAATGAATTTATCAAGGATACAATTTATAATTCAAAATAGTTGTTATTATGTATGTTGGTGAGAAATACCCATTATTTCTTAAATTTAAACAAATTAGTGAATGTGGATTTGCCGTCAAAGTGTACTCTGCAACTTGGATTGAACAGTGAAGTAAAAGATGTTAAACAAAATGATAGAAAAAGAATCTGAACCTATAAAAGTAGCTTTGAAAAGATTAAATAATATTTCGGCTGATTATTTAAATGAGGTATATTAATAATAGTAATTAAAATTGTAATTTTTTTTTTAATTTTAATTAAAAATATTAAAAATGTTTTACAATGTATTATGCTCAAGAAACCTTTTTTTATTTAGTGCGTTTTATGGTGGCCGATCTCTAAGAAAATCATAGTAATTGTTTATATTCGTTTTTAATTATTTTACTGGTATACAGTATACTCAGGACAACGTGCTTTGAACTGGAAATTGTACAGGTTATATCTTGCAAATAATATTATGTTATATAAAATCTGTAGTATAATTTATCAAAAAATTCGAAATTTTATTATTAATTTAATGAATACTGACAATAATACCTTCACATTATTCACCTATATAATAAAATATAATTGTTATATAAACTTTACCAAATAAGAAATATGGTACACGCAATCAATATGGTTATTTTTTAATAACTTGAAATACTTCGTAATCATCTACTTTCATACGTTTTGGTAGGTAAAATGTAGGATAAGAACTATGTACGTGATTATAATAATGATTCCAAATATTCCGACCAGTATTATAATTTAGAAATAAATCTTCATACCCAAATGCTGGTCCAAATAGCGAATAACTTCGTATGGAATAATGATTACCATTGCTGTAAACAACATTTGCACCTTGAATATTATTCTTATCTGCAATTGAGAACACAAAACTATCTTTTGAAGCCATATTAGTGTCACTTGAATCCCAAGAAAATGGATTATATCCTCCAACTATTTGATTTGAGCAATTAATTTTTGCTACAACTATAGTAGCTCCCTTGTTATCACATTTAGCATGAAAAGCTGCAGCTGTATTACTATCCCTGCTAGCTCTATATAAAAGATTAAATTTATAGTTAACCTTTTCTTTTTTTCTATCTATCCAATTTGAAAAGAGTCTAAGATGTTCCCGATTAATCATAATAGAGTCAGTAGAGTCAGTATTAAGATTCCTTGGCGTATATATAGGTTTGTATTCGGGAACCATATAAGATTTTAAAATATCATCTTTTAATTCTTTAGGTAAAATTTCTTCGTAGGGTTTAATTTTGTTGAAATAATCTCTAGTAGATATTTCATAAAATCTAATTAAAGGGATAAATTTATAAAGAACCCCTTTGAAGATACTAATATCATCTTGGTTCCATTTAGTGACATCTTGATTACGTACTTGTTCTTGTGCTAAACCCCATTTAATTAAATTTTCCCAGATTTCAATTTCTTCTAAATTTAAATCATCGCGCTTTAAAATAATTTCCAATAAAGGAGCGGATAATTTAACGAATTTATCAGAACCGAATAAAATTTTTGGTTCAGCACAAATTTTACTCAAATAAAATTCTTGTAAATTTACAAATTTATGATAATAAATAACTTGGAGAATTTTAACTGGATCATTTTGCATGAATCGTTGATGATTTTTAACTATATAATCTTCAGTAAGATTTGTTAAATTTTTCAACATCATTCTATCAGAAATAATCATGAAATCCAAAAGTTCAATTCCGGTCTTATTAGTAATATTAAATTGACCAGTATAAAGGTAACTAAAGAAAATATAAATATGTCGATTTAACCGAACAAAGTCAGCTTGCAAAAAAAATTTTTTACTGTTTTAGTAATGTAATAACTCACCTAAGAATAGTGTTAAAAGCTTGAGGAGAAATATTTGGTTTCTTAATTAAATATTTTCCATCTTTTCTCTCAATATTTTTATCAGAAAATATTATATCAAAATATTTGGACCTACAACGTAATATAATAGAATGCGCATGAAATTCTTTAAAATTAGGTTTTTCTCCAACTTGAATAATAACATTATAATCCGTTTCTGTTTTAAGTAAATTTCTAATCGCTTCGAGTATTTCATATTCAAAATTATATGACATATTTTTAACCGGAATTTTCAATACTAATATACTCCTTTTTTTAAAATTATTTTTACATAAAAGGTATATAGAAATAATGATCTATAAGAAAAGAACGCTAAGAACTTGTACAATATCAATTTGTTGTAAAGTCGTTAAATATTTTTCAAACGTTTCAACAAAGATTTAAGCTCAAAATTTTCTTTATTTTTGAACAGCGAATTAAATATTATGTTGGAAAAATAGATCTAAAAAAATGAACGTGAAATTAGCGTAAGAATGATGTAAAACCATCATAGTAAAAAATAATACGTAAAATTGACGTAAATTATTTCATAATACGAAAAGTGATGTAGATCATCAACTGCACTGTAAGAAAGAAGACAATACAATTAAAAATTATTTATTTATATAATAGCAAAACTTAAGAAAATCTCTATAAACCCGTTTATGTTTGATTCAGGTCCTGTTGCAGAATAAGTACAGAGAAAGCAAATGCTGTTACTGAGTTTGTTGAGGCGTAACACAGAATTAAATTATATATTTAAAATCGGATAGATATAATGTATTATTTTTTTCCAAAATATAAAATATTTTTATATATTAACAAAGTTAGGCTTTACGATTACGGAAGAATGTTGAAATTTTACATGATTTCAGAATGTAAACATCCTTTGCCGAGATGTCTGTTTACAATGTTAGAAAAGTGAAACGGAATCGTTGTTAAGTCCGGAACAAAGACCTAAAATTATTGTGGAGGGACATCAATCAGCATCGACACGCAAGTGAACATCCGGACATTTTGTATCACCTAGCGTAGAATATGTAGTCCTACGTTATACTCTGACTAATAAGCGTGGCAATAATTATTATATAGTAGTTGAGGTCCAACGAAAAGTACTAGTTTTATATTCTCGTTACAGAAAATAGTGCATCTTCGAAAGTAGAAATAACTTAACGCAGTGATGATGGCCCAAGAAAAAATTTTTATTTTCTCATATCATATATATCTTTTAATAACATAAGCAGATCACGAGAAAATTAAATTTCGATCGCTTGTCCTATTTTATTTAAGTTAATTCGATACTGCTTACTAGTTTATTTCGTCGCACAAACCCGTGTGATCATCCAGAAAAGTGTTACACAATAAAAAGAATGATGGGACCGGAACAAAATCAGGGGTTAAAACTCAATTTACTAATTCAATAATAGGTAAAGATAGTACTTCGCGACGCTCCGGGCCATTAAAGCGAACAACTATAAAATATCCTTTTTATTTATTTTATCGAATTAATAATCAAAATAATCAAAATTAAAATTAAATTCAAAATTTTATTTTCAATTATAAATTTTTTTTTTTTTTCCTAATAAATAACTGTTTACTGGCTGGTAAGTAAATAATTATAATAATTATGGCAATAAATTAAATTATAAAAACCTCATCGATTCGACTTTTTTTTCACAATGATATGCAATTTTGATTTCCCGATTCAGAAAATAATTTTGTATTACATAAGGTTACACATTAACTAATTTAAGACTAATTCAGCAATCGTGCATCATATAATTCCAGTCAAAATTATCTATAATTTTGGCTGAAGCCGGTAATCAGCTACAATGCGCAGTTGGTGAAACGAGACAATCTTGTACTTCAAAAAAACAAATTTTTTTATGTTGTGATTCATTGAGTCACTTGTACCCTTTGATGCTGTGACACTTAAGGAATTTCATACACTTAATACCTAAATAAAGAATTTATTGACGTTTTACTTACGTTTTACAAAGTTTCCTTTCTTAAAAAAAAAAAAAAAAATATTTTTTTTTAATAGTTTTTTTGTTTTATTTATTTATTTATTTATTTTTTTTTAAAAAAAAAAAATAATTAAATTTCTGATTTTACTATTTAATTAAATTATGTCATATAATATCGAAACTGAAATAATCAATGTTATTAAAGCTCTTGAAGGAATCCTCAGAAATGAAACGGATTATAACGTTATTATTTATATCGGAGAAGAACCTGATTTTAAAGAATTTCATGCACATTCTAATATCTTACGAAGTAGATGCGATCATTTTAATGAAATACTTTCCGCTGATGATATAGAAAAAATTGACGGAAAATATATAATTAAGAAACCAAATTTTACGCCAAAATCTTTTGATGTTATTCTTGAGTAAGTTTAAAATATTTAAAAAAAATTTTTATTATTATATGAAATTTTTTAAAATTTTTCATAATAATTTTTCTTTTTTCTTTTATTTATTTTATTTTATTTTGAAAAGGTACCTTTATACTGGTTATATAAAAAATGAAACTGGAATTGAACTTTTTAATATCATGATCGCTTCTAATGAATTAAAATTGGAATTATTATCTAAATTCACTGAAAAATGTCTTATAACTGAAAATAATCATTTATTAAGAAATGATCCGGTTGGAATACTACAAATTGTTAGTGATCATAAAATTTTTGATAAAATAAAAGAAGTTTATTTGGAAACGATTTGTATTGAACCAAAAATTTTATTCAACTCTGATAAATTTACTCAATTATCCGCTCATTTATTGGGAATTATTTTAAAACGGAATGATTTGAAATTAGATGAAATTGAAATTTGGGAAAATTTAATTAAATGGGGATTAGCACAAGTTCAAACTCTTAATCAAGATGTATCTAATTGGAATCAAGAAGACACTAATATTTTTAAAGAAATTATATATACATTTGTTCCATTAATAAGATTTTATGGTATTTCTTCTAAAGATTATATTATTAAAGTTAAACCTTATGAAGAAGTTTTACCAAAGGAATTGAAAGATGATTTACTTAAATATTATATGATTCCTGAATATAAACCAACTCTTAATAATTTAAAACCAAGATATTCAAGAATTTTTATTGATTCTAAAATAATTAATCAACAACATACTATACTTTTTGCAAATTGGATTGATCAAAAAGGAAAAAATTCCAGTAGGTATATTAAAACTATTCCTTATGAATTTAATCTTATTTATCGTGCAACTAGAGATGGATGGAAACCTACAGATTTTCATGAAAAATGTGATTATAAGAGAGCAACTATAATTGTAGTAAAGATTAAAAATTCGGAACAAGTAATTGGAGGATATAATCCACTTGAATGGGATTCAAGTAATAATCATAAATCTACAAAAGACAGTTTTATATTCTCATTTACAAATAGAAATTCTCTTCAGAGTGCAAAAGTAGGTTATAGTAATGGTGATTCACATTCTATAGGTTGTTTTTCAAATAATGGTCCATTTTTTGGTGGTAATAATAGTGATTTGGTTTTCCATAATAATGGTAATTGGAAAAGTAAAAATCCGAATTCTTATTCTCGAGTTGATATACCATCAAATTTTCGTGCTGATGATTATGAAGTTTTTCAAGTTACAGATACTAGAAGATCGAGTTCTTTTTTAGAAAAGGAAATTGAAATACCTCAAATAGAAAATGTTAAAAATTCGGGCAGTGAAGAGATTTTAAAATCGGAAAATAAAAAAAGTCCTTTAATTTCTTTATTTAAAGGAAAAAGATAAATTTTATCTATACTTTATTATAATATTTAATTTTCATCTTTATATTTACCATATATTTTTATCCATAGAATTTTCATAAGACAATACTATAATATATTTTTATAGACAAATAATTAAAAGTCATCATTAAATTATAATATTCTTGGTGGCCTAACGTTTGAGATGTGTATTATTTTGTACGAATAAATCCCCCAAAAAATATAAATATCGTTAAAAAGCGAATTTGAAGAATTAGATAGAGTTTATTTTTTTTTTTTAAACAATTTCCTAAGAACGATCATATCTTTTACAATTAATAAAAATTTTTTTTTTTTTACTGATAAAAAATAATATTAGTATTAATTATTCATTTTCAGTTGCCAAAAGTGTTGTTTTCAGAATCCGGTATTAAGAAATGGAACAATCCAGAAACTGAGTAAAGATGGTGAAACAAACGAGTCATGATTTGAATTTATAGAAAAGAAAGACATTTGCCATGAGTAATAGGCGATAATGATAATATTAAGATAAAAATTATTCAAATAATTAATGGCATAGTTTGTTCCTTTATTTACTTAAATAAAATAAGAGCCAGTAAGATGGTTAACCAGTTAAGACATCTATTTACCCGTTTAAAAATGGCTAAGTTAACCGGTTAATTTATTCGGTTAAAAATGGTTAAAATGTAAATCATGCAGATTATAATCATTTTAATAGTTATTTATAGAATTAATGATTTTCATATTTTTTTACACTTCAACAAGTGAAAAAAAATTCATTATTAACTATATTGGATCTTAATTTAAAATGTATTAACTCCGGTCAAATTTTTAATTCCGGTCAGAATCAAGTTTTCCGGTTAAGAAACTCTTTAACTGGTTAATTGACTGGTTTTAATAACCGATTAAGGTTTTTCAGACCGGTTCCAAGCTCTAATTTCAACATCCTTTAATAAATGGCTTAGGCCGCTTAGCATTAACTGACATTGCAATTCACGTGACTTTCACGCCGCTTCTCCCCATATAGTGGGGCGTAATCGGAATATTCTTTCCGTTAATTTATACATTGTTAAAAATAGATTTTCAAATTTAAAATTTCATTGTTGTAAAAAACTCATTAATTCCATTATTTGCGTTCGTAAAAAAAACTATTTAAAGATCATTTCTATCCCTACGAAAAAATCATTTTTAAAAATTTTGAAAAAAAAATGCTATATAATTTTGAATCTAATTTATCTGAAGCTTTTGGCCAACTATTAAAAATAGAGACGGATTATAATGTTATCATTCAGATTGGAGAAGAACCTAATTTTAAAGAATTTCATACACATTCTAATATTTTACGTTGTAGATCCGAATATTTTAATAAAATATTTACAGAAAATATCGAAAAAAAAGATGGAATGTATATAATTAAGAAATCAAATATTTCTCCTCAAGCTTTTGATATGATCCTTAAGTAAGTAGTTATAAAAAAACGTTAAACAAAATTTATAAATTAATTTATTTTAACACTTTCGTATTTTTTTTTTAGGTATCTTTATACCGATCAAATCGATATCACTAATAAAACTGGAACCGAACTATTGAATTTTATGATTGCTTCTGATGAATTAATGTTGAAAAAATTAACTAAACTTACTGAAGATTTTATTATTCAAAATCAACAAAAATTCTTACAAAATGATCCTATCGGAATTCTTCAAATCATTCAATATTGTAAACCACTTATTAATTTACAAGAATATTGTTTGAATAAAATTTGTTCTGAACCAGAAATTTTATTCAACTCTGATAAATTCAATCAATTACCTGCTTCTTTATTAGAAATTATTTTAAAACGTGATGACTTGAATTTAAAAGAAGTTGAAATTTGGGAAAATTTAATTAAATGGGGTTTAGCTCAAGAACAAGTACGTAATCAAGATATCACTAAATGGAACCAAGATGATATTAATATCTTTAAAAGGATACTTTACAAGTTCATTCCTTTAATTAGATTTTATGAAATCTTTATTGAAGATTACTTCAACAAAATTAAACCTTATGAAGAAATTTTATCTAAAGAATTGAGAGATGATATTTTAAAATTTTACATGATTTCTGGATATAAACCACAAAGAAATCCAAGATTTAATTCTAATTCTATTATAATTAAACGAAAACACATCGCACTTTTTTCAAATTGGATCGACAAAAAAGAGAAAATGAATATTAATGATATTAATAATATTCCATATAAATTTAATCTTTTATATAGAGGTAGCAAAGATGGCAATACAGCTGCAGCATTTCATAATAGATGTGATAATAAGGAAGCTACTATAGTTGTAATAAAAATCACAAATTCGAATCAAATAATTGGAGGATATAATCCACTTGAATGGGATTCAAATAACTGTAGTAAGTCAACAAAGGATAGTTTTATATTCTCATTTACTGATAAAAATGACCTTCAAAGTGCAAATATAGTTTATAGTAATGGTGATCAATATTCTATTCGAACTCATTCACGTTGGGGTCCAGTATTTGGTAATGACTTACTTTTAAATTATGATAATAGCCCAAATATTTGGTACCATAATAGTGTATATTCTTATCCTACGCTTAATTTACCAAAAAATATGAGTATGGATGATTACGAAGTGTTTCAAGTTATTAAAAAATAACTAGCATGATTTATAGTATTTCTGTAGTTATTATTATATAGATTTTTAATGGGTTGAGAAGTTGAATTCAGGCTACTTGACAAAGTGATGAAATAAAAAATTATTAGATTTGATCATGATTTAAATGATTTTAACTTTGAAATAAAAATTTCACTTAAAAAATTTCACTTAAATAAAAATTGAAAAACTTTTAACTTGCTAAAATTCCAAAAAAATTATAAAGATTTTATTTATTTTAAATCCATTGTAGTATCATTATCGAATGAATCTTATTTATTCATTCATCTGAGTATTATTAGTAAACATTCTATATATGTTCGACAACTTTATCCTGCTGTAGGCCTTAAAATTTGTCAAATCAATTTTTCGTAAAAAGTAATAAATAATTTAAAAATAAAATTTCATTTTTTTCGATTCCATACAGTACACAACATGAGATTTATCGTCAATAATGTTGTTATAAGAATTTACCAAACTGCTTGTTATTTACAAATCCACGCACGGAATTACCGAAAAAAATAGTTTCGATAAATTAATCATTCCGATAGAGACTAATGAAAGTACTTGAATAGTCAGTAATTATTATTCGATCGGAATTATTTGTCGAAAATGGGTCTTGCACAAATACATGATATTACAAGATTATTAAGCAAAGGAATTTTCTATTAATAAGCAAGGGAAGATATAGAGGCATTTCATTCATTCTCTTATTTAATTTCTCGAAATATGTAAGAAAACGTCAAAAATCATCGCGCGGTTATCATCTCACCAACATTAGCAAATATTAATGGGCGGAGTTCCATGCCATTTTTAATTCTACCCATAATTATATTCTAATTCTGGTAAGGTAACAATCATTAGCGGTATGTAATTATATGTCAATTTCACGTGTCCACCTGCATGATATTATTATTAATATAGTATTTCATTTAACTATAAATGAAGGTTCATTTGCAAAATTAAATGTTTGTTACACTTCGGTAATTTTTGAATTAAAAGTCCGATCAACGTTTCACACAACATTTGGACATTACTAATTTTATCTACCTGAAATTTAAAAAAAATGTCATTTGAATATTCTCAAGAGATTAGTAATGATTATGAAAAATTATTTGAAAATAAAAAAGGATATGATGTAATTATATATGCTGGTGAAAATGAAAATTTAAAAGAAATTCATGCACATTCACTCATTCTACGTACTAGGTCTCAATATTTTAATACAACATTCTGTAATAATTTGGTCAAGAAAGAAAATGGAAAGTTTATTTTTAAAAAACCTAACATTTCTTCAAATTTATTTGAAATTATTTTAAGGTAATTAAAATGAATAAAATGAAGCGTTATACATATTAAATGCGATGAAAATTCAATACAACATTTTTTTATTTTTAGATTCATTTATTGTGGAAAAATTGATTTGAAAAACTTGCAAGGTCCCGAAATGTTAAAACTTTCAATGGTAGCGGATGAACTTAACGTTCCAACATTAATATTCTGTATCCAAAAGTATTTAATTAAAGATCATTATGAATTTTTACAAGAAAATCTTATGGATATTTTTCAAACATTTTATCAAAATGAATTATTTATAAGTTTATTGAATTTTTGTTTTATTGAAATTGAAATTATATTTGACTCTGATAAATTCACCAGTCTAGAAGCACCATTATTGGAATTCCTTTTAAAACAGCATGATTTGAATTTAAGTGAGATTGAAATTTGGGAAGGTTTAATTAAATGGGGATTAGCACAAGATCAAGAACTTAATAAAGATGTTTCTAAATGGAATCAAGAGGATTTTAATATCTTTAAAAAGATTCTTAATAAATTTATCCCTTTAATTAGATTTTGTGGAATATCTAGTGAGGATTACTTTGATAAAGTAAAACCTTATGAAGAAATTTTACCTAAAGAATTACGAGAAGAAATCTCAAAATTTCACCTAATTCTCGGATATAAACCGTCATTTAATCTTTTATTACCGAGATATAGTATTGATTCTAATTTAGCTATTCGAAAACACTTTACAGTTTTTGCAAGTTGGATTGATAAAGAAAGGGGTAAATTGAATTACAAGTTTAATCTTTTATATAGAGCTAGTAGAGATGGTGATACAGCTGCAGCTTTTCATGCTAAATGTGATAACAAGGGAGCTACTATAGTTGTAGCAAAAATTACAAATTCAGAACAAATAGTTGGGGGTTATAATCCACTTGAATGGGATTCAAATAACTGTAGTAAGTCAACAAAAGATAGTTTTATATTCTCATTCACAAATAAGAATAATTTTCGGACTGCGAAAGTAGTTTACAGTAAAGAAGATCAACATTCTGTACGATGTTATGAATATTGTGGTCCATTCTTTGGTTTTGGTGATTTATATACAAATTATGCCTTTTCTAATGTTTGGAAAACTGAATTTAGAAGGTCTTATCCTACACTTGATTTACCTGATAGTATGAATGTTGATGACTATGAAGTATTTCAAGTTATCAAAAAGTAAGATAAATTGTGTTAATTATATAAATATTTATTTATGTATTCACCGATGTAATTCAGACAATTTAAATAAAGTTATGTTTTTAAAAACAAAATGAAACTTTTATCGTTTCATTCGGGTCCCAAATCGGGTTTAATAAATTTTGATATATACTGACTAGGATCTGGACTAAAGTGACAAGAATCGATTATGGAACCGAACCGGTTTTTCGGTTTGACTCTGCTAGGACCCCGAAATATGCATAAAAGGGTCAGGTCAGAGTTTGCGTATAATGAGTCAAAAAAATCATGTAGATCATTCCTTTTATGGATAATCCCAGCCAAAATAATATTTCCTAATTTAGATAATGGCTGAAATTATCGTAATTCCGGCCCTGAAAGAATGCGTATTTTGGACCACTTCTGGACCTGACCTCTACATATATATTTCGGGGTCCTACTCTGCTTAACTCGATTTTTCAATAGTATCGATCGATTTGGAAACGAATTGCATTCACGGAAAATGTAAATAATTCGATAAATTCCGTGATATGAAATTATTGTTAATTCCAGAAATATGAGCCTTTTATGGAAAAAAAGATGGAATATAAAAAACGAATCGACTTTTTTTACAGGGAGATTCGTTAATCTAACATTTTCGTTAATAATAAAAAAGATTAAATATTTCAATTTTAATAAATAAATATAGAGTTTTAGATTTTTCATCAATTTCCTTACTAATATTATCTATTATTATAATAACTACTAAGTACATTTAATCGATAATATAAATCTAAATGTTTACAAAAACTAATATAATTATAAAATACAGGTTTTGTTTCCTTGACTCTTTAATTCATCTGGTAAATATGTAATAATTACATTCCGTCATTAGCACACTCTGACGTTTCTGGTATTTCAAAGGATTTTTCCATAAAATGGAACTATTATTTCACACCAAGTTTTATTAACCATGAGACATGAAAAAGGGCTATCATATCTTCTAATCCCTTTGCTATTAATCCCTATAAAAACGAAATGTGTTAAATTTATTTTAAATTCGTGCTCATGAGTAATAAATGTCTAAAGAAGACATTTATTACACGTGAGCACAAATATAAAACAAATTCAACACATTTAGTTTTTATAGGGATATAAGTAAAGAACATTTCATTTAATTTGATCATTTTTCACTTTAATATAGAATATTTTTTGATTAAAAAGCGGCGATGTATCTAGCATATTGTAATGCACTTGTACTACTACACCGTGCTTTATCAACAATAATTGGACGGTGTGTAGTGGATATCTGGTGTGTATTGTCCTAATTGATATTATTTATCATCCGAAAAAGACCCGAAGGCAAATGAATTTTGCAGTGATACGCTGTACAATACCAAAAATGTAAGATATTATTTGCTACATTCATTGTTACACCTATTCCTTTATTCTTTTATTTATATGTAAGAAAATGTCCAGAAAATCACCGCGCATTGATCAGCATTAACAACTTTACTAAAAATGGCCAATTTTTTGAAATATTTTTATAGACCTAGATACAATGGCTATCAAAACAATTGTGCAATTATTTTGTAAAATTTTTAAAATATATCAAGATATATTTAAGGTATTTTTGAGATTAAAATATTAAAATAATATCAAAGTTAATTATATTATAATAATAAAATAATAACAAAAACATTAAAAAATTTTTGTGATATTATTTTGAGTTATTTTTATAGACCTAAATACAATATAATTACAAAATAATAACAAAAATATAATAAAAACATTTTGATATATTAAATGTATTTTTGTAGTATTTTAAAATTATTACAAAATCATTTCAAAAAATTGGCCATTTTTAGTAAAGAAATATTAATACTCTAATTCTGGTAGCGGTATGTAATTACTATGTCAATTTCACGTGCTCACCACATTCTCTATTTCAGAAATATACTTTTTATTTGCATTGTACAGCATGATATTATTATTAATACGGTAATTTGTTTAACCATAAATGAAGGTTCACTTGTAAAATTGAATATGTTACACTTTGGTAATTTTGGAATTAATAGTCCGATCAACGTTTCACACAACATTTGGACATTACTAATCTTACCTACCTGAAATTTAAAAAAAAATGTCATTTGAATATTCTCAAGAGATTAGTAATGATTATGAAAAATTATTTGAAAATAAAAAAGGATATGATGTAATTATATATGCTGGTGAAAATGAAAATTTAAAAGAAATTCATGCACATTCACTCATTCTACGTACTAGGTCTCAATATTTTAATACAACATTCTGTAATAATTTGGTCAAGAAAGAAAATGGAAAGTTTATTTTTAAAAAACCTAACATTTCTTCAAATTTATTTGAAATTATTTTAAGGTAATTAAAATGAATAAAATGAAGCGTTATACATACTAAATGCGATGAAAATTCAATACAACATTTTTTTATTTTTAGATTCATTTATTGTGGAAAAATTGATTTGAAAAACTTGCAAGGTCCCGAAATGTTAAAACTTTCAATGGTAGCGGATGAACTTAACGTTCCAACATTAATATTCTGTATCCAAAAGTATTTAATTAAAGATCATTATGAATTTTTACAAGAAAATCTTATGGATATTTTTCAAACATTTTATCAAAATGAATTATTTATAAGTTTATTGAATTTTTGTTTTATTGAAATTGAAATTATATTTGACTCTGATAAATTCACCAGTCTAGAAGCACCATTATTGGAATTCCTTTTAAAACAGCATGATTTGAATTTAAGTGAGATTGAAATTTGGGAAGGTTTAATTAAATGGGGATTAGCACAAGATCAAGAACTTAATAAAGATGTTTCTAAATGGAATCAAGAGGATTTTAATATCTTTAAAAAGATTCTTAATAAATTTATTCCTTTAATTAGATTTTATGGAATATCTAATAAGGATTACTTTGATAAAGTAAAACCTTATGAAGAAATTTTACCTAAAGAATTACGAGAAGAAATCTCAAAATTTCACCAAATTCCCGGATATAAACCGACATTCAATCTTTTATTACCAAGATATAATATTGATTCTAATTTAGCTAATCGAAAACACTTCACAATTTTTGCAAGTTGGATTGATAAAGAAAGGGGTAAATTGAATTACAAGTTTAATCTTTTATACAGAGCTAGCAGAGATGGTGATACAGCAGAAGCATTTCATGCTAAATGTGATTGTAAAGGAGCTACTATAGTTGTAGCAAAAATTACAAATTCAGAACAAATAGTTGGAGGTTATAATCCACTTGAATGGGATTCAAATAACTGTAGTAAGTCAACAAAGATAGTTTTATATTCTCATTCACAAATAAGAATAATTTTCGGACTGCGAAAGTAGCTTACAGTAAAGAAGATCAATATTCTATACGATGTTATAGACACTGTGGTCCATTCTTTGGTTATGGCGATTTATATACAAATTATGCCTTTTCTTATGTTTGGCAAACTGAATTTAGAAGGTCTTATCCTACACTTAATTTACCTGATCGTATGAATGTTGATGACTATGAAGTATTTCAAGTTATCAAAAAATAAGATAATTATTTTTGTATTTACTTATGTACTAATTCAGACAACTTAAATAAAGATGTTTTTGATTAATAAATTTTGATATATACTGACACGGATCATTTCATTTAATTTGATCATTTTTTATTTTAATATAGAATATTAGAATTCAGACGATATGACAACAATAATGTACATATCGTAATGTATCACTTGTAACGATAATTGGATGGTGTATAGTAGATATTCGGTGTGTATTGCCTAATTGATATTGCTTATCATCCTAAAAAGAATGGTACCTGTAAAATACCAAAAAAGCAAGATATTACTTGTTACAGTTTTATAAACACCAATAATTAGTTTTACCAACAACATAAAATTACGTTATAATCACCGTCGACGGATCTACCCACAGCGATATATATATTAAAAGATTACAACATAGTCAAACTCATTTGCCCATAAAAATGTGACCCAAATTTTATAAAGATCAAAACAAGAAAATCAATCAAGCAGCTACTATATAATCGATTCAAGAAGGAAAAAGGCAAAGAAATGCATAACAATCGATATAGTGTTAGTCATACCATTCAATTAACTGCCGTTCTTTAAAGAGGTATTTAAAAATTTTCTGATTCGTATCACAGATCAGATTTGAATTGAACCAAAAAAACAACAGACCAATTTTCTTTAAATTGTTATTTAATCTGATTCCCTTTATGTTGTCCCACTCTCAAAAGAGAAAGAGCATTCCCTGCCCTGAAGGATTTGAGCAAAATTAGATCAAATTTCATTAAATCCTACCTGTTTGATCTGTTAGCAAAATCTAAAAATTTAATTTTGATTAACGTTAATAAGTATTTGTAAATATTTTTTTAATGATGATTTTTTGATAAATACAGTATATTTACTTTTTCGAAAAAATTCACCCATTTTGCTGATAACTATAAAATGATTTACAATTTTAATTCATTGTAAATTAATTATGTATGAGCAAACCATTCGTATATACGTCGATTACTTTACTAGATTGAATTGAGTCGAAATGTTTTTTAGCTAGCTTATCCAAAATTAAAGTGGAAGTAATAAAAAAAGATGCTATGAGATGAATTGTGGAGAGAGATTATTAGACGATTGTGGTTGAGATAAGGAGCTGTGAAGTTGAAGTTTGTTACTTTGAATTAGACGCATTATAAGAAATAGTGTTAGAGTGGGATTTGTGTATTAGATGAGTATTTGATGGGAAAGTTAAATTTTTGGCAAATTATGTTGTTAATAACGTGGACCGATATACAGTATATGTGAACGTTTTGTACGTTTGAAAAGGCGAAGCTATGATAGAAGGACGCTTTACCGTGGGACTCTATATTATGGTATTTGATTTGAGTTAGCTCGTTAACCAGAACGTGTACCAATTTATCAAGGACCCAGAAATATATACAGTATATAAGGGTCAGGTTTGAGTTTACGTATTTTAGATAATTTTTGATAATGCCAGTCAGAATTTTATTCCTATTATAGTAACCGGCTGACATTATCATAATTCCGGCCCTGAAAAAATGCGTACAGCTCATAGTAAAAAATTTTTTCATCACCTGACCCCTATATATATTTCTGGGTCCTGTTGATAGTTTCATTGAAAGACATTAAATTTTGTTATATCAGTCATTATACTATTAATATTTTAAAGAAACTTGTTGTTGAAGTCACAATTGAGAATTAATAAAGTCCGATGTGGCTTGCGCCATTGATCTGGTTGTCAAAAATATCAATAAAGATGATCAATATCGAGATCATGCATGTTTTATCTCAGTAAATACAAATAATAGTTTAATAGTTTAATTGAAACTCAATAATTACTAATTTATCTATCCATACATCTTTTTCTTCATAATGACTCATCCAAAGCTTGCCATAAAAAGGTAGATTGCAATCACAATACTGGTTATTATTTTTTTTTTTTGCATAAACCTTTACTGATACTGGTTTTTTTTTTTGCTTTTTTTACTACGCTGATAAATCTGGAGTTAATTCAAAAGATATAAATATACCTCAAAAGCTCTNTTCGGTATTTGACTAAAGTAAGTATACATTACATTCCTGTCTCTTATACACATCTAGATGTGTATAAGAGACAGGTTAAATCTGGAGTTAATTCAAAAGATATAAATATACCTCAAAAGCTCTCTCAAACTTCAAACTTCTTTTTAAAAATATACTTACTTATTTACTTCTTTTCAATATTTACGAACACCTCTCTCAAAACTTTTGATATTTTCGCTAAAAAAAAAAAAGTATCATGGTATAAAGTGCCTTTTAGTTTAATCTATTTACTTCCTTTTAATATTTACGAACACCTCTCTCAAAACTTTTGATATTTTCGCAAAGTATCATGATATAAAGTGTCTTTTAGTTTATTCTATTTACTTCCTTTTAATATTTACGATCACCTCTCCTAAAATTTTGATATTTTCGCTAAAAACAAAAGTATCATGATATAAAGTGTCTTTTAGTATATTCTTATTTACTCCTTTTTAATATTACGATCGGGAAGGGAAAGAGCAAGGAAATACAAAAACATACACCACCTACGCACAAACCCACACACAACAACCCACATACCTAAAGAAAGACGTAAAGAAAAGGGCTTAAGGCCTTCTTCCTAAAATTTTTGATATTTTCGCTAAAAAAAAAAAATAAGTATCATGGTATGAAGTGTTTTCTAGTTTATATTTAATATATTGATGATAATGTCGTATATTCTGATGATGAAATATAAATTTTTTTTGGATATTTTCTAACGGTTTATTTAGAATTTACATTCAGCGTATAACGAATTTAAAAATTGGAAATAAATTTGAACGGATATTGATAATATTGAATTTCTTCGCTATAGTGGTAAGTTGAAAACCAGCGACTTACTTTCTATGATAATTGTCGCCTTACTAGGGGTACCACAGATTATCCATAATATGTTGTATTTTTGTTGTATTTTATTTTTGTTATTTGTCGTTATTTGTATTTTTTTCTTTGTTTTTTAATTAGTTTAGTATAGGTTATTTGTATATTTTTTTTTTGTCTTTTATTTAGTTTAATATAGTAATAATGGATAGTAACGGACTAGTGAGGGACATTAAGGAGAAACTGGCTTTCCTTGAGGAGGGTTAGCTTACCTTTCTCCTATTATAGGAAATATTAGTATGATTTTTAACCATACTAAGACCACTTTTTTTTGCAGCTTCTCTCATGTTGCCCTTGAAACTTTCCTAGAAATGGTTCGGTATTTGACTAAAGTAAGTATACATTACATTCTGCATATAACGAACTGAGGAGTTTCTTTTTTTCAAATTTCTTAAACTTAAAATTCTTTTTTCATGTTAGATTATTGTCATGCCATTATGGAATTTCAATATCTAAAGAAAAAAAATTAGATTTTACGAATATGGACATAATTTTATGGATCACTATGAATTAAATATGAAAAAAAACTTATTGTTTTGCATTTTATTATATAATTCCGGCCACGCAAACAAGGTTCTCATATTGGGCGTTTAATTTCGTAAAAAAAAATAAAATATTCACGAAATATAAATCATTTGATTTTCAGATAATCATTTTTTTTATTGGTCATATTCAGCATTGGAAAACTTTAGTATTGAACATAAATTTCTCCAAAATTATTAATTTTATAGGCAATATCATGATAATTTGCGAAGTTTGCTATTTTTAACATATTTACTATTTTTATATTCACAAGCTTGGGAATGAGCAACTTACTATGTATAAAATCTTGGTATACAGTACTTGCTTATACTGTTGTAGCACAACGAAGCGGATTTATGAGATTATAAATGGCTTTAGTTATACTTAAGCGCGAGATCAAAAAAAAATTTAGACAAAACATCAAAAATTTCTTTGTAAGCAAGGATATTGCAAATAGATATTGTAAACTCCATTCACGTATTAAAAAAATAAATTATCAATCATACAATATTTATTAATTACACTATGTAGCTGAAATTTGAATAATTTTATATTTTACATATCTTTTTTTTTTACAAAAGTATACAAGTATATATAATTATTAACAATGATACATTAGTCTTGATTTAAAAACACTAAAATCATAGAATTTTAAAAAATTTTCATGAAACATTGAAATATTAGGAGTTCGTTATAAAAGAATCACTTTCATCCCGCCATAAACAGAATAAAGCTGTAAACATTCTGGAATTTCGCTATCAACAATTATCAAAAATCAATAATTTCTGCTATACTCTTGTCGGTTGAAGTTTTCGTACTACAAGCAATTTTTGAAATCATTGATTCTTCGGCTATAACTGTATTTTTACTTTCGCAAATTTTACAAGTGAATTTACGTTTCAAAATTTTAAGAGACTTGGAGAAGACCTTTTTGACCTTATTAGGTGATTTATATTGTTTAGGCCAAAATTCGTTACCATCTAGTTTCTGGCCAATGTCAACAGTATGAGAATGTTCATTTTGTGTAATAAATTCAGGGATAAATTTTTTATCGAAGATCGAAAAGTTGATGTTGAAAATAGTAGTTTGCATATTAATTAAAGTTATTAAAAAAAATTTTTTTTTTTTTATTGTAAAAACAGATTTTCTTTTATAACTCTTGAGCTTCTAATGCTTAATTTTGTTCTCGTTAAAAAAAAGAAAATTTGGTTCCGAGCTAATCAAGAAGTTATTATTATTTTGAACAAAAGTACAAAGACAAAATCTTGTGAGAGCTGCAAGCTGTAGTATTACAAAAGTATACAATACATTATTAAAGATTTAAAGTAACTCATTGTTAAATAATTAGGAAGTTCGCCAGAATTATCATGTAAATTTTCTTTTTTTTTAAATAATTCTGACCAGAATTATGCATTGCTGGCCCTGAATGTTGCCGATCTTCTGCTCGGGTCCCGATCAAAGAATACGCAAGCGTTTTGAGACAATTAATAAAATTAACAGATAAAGAGAATAAAGATGGATAAATTGATCAATTATATCAATTATATCGTTATTCGCATTTTCAACCTTATTCTTGTTATTATATTTTTGGTTTAATATTTTTCATTTTTGTATCCAAAAAAAATGACTTTTTTTTGCAAATATGACCCTATAAAAAATTTTACCTGTCATTTTTGTAAAAACTCCAGCCTTTCACGGATTCATTCGCGGAGAATGAAAATAATTCGATAAATTCCGTGATGTAAGGTTACTAATTCCGGAAATATGAGTCTTTTACGGAAAAAAAGATGGAATATAAAAAACGGATCGACTTTTTTTACTGGGTGATAAATAGGAAGAGAATAAACATAATTATGTTCTTTTATAAGTAAATTTTTTTCTTTATTTAGAATAAAATTTATATTTCAAACTGTTACTTTTAGTAAAATGATGTCATTCCCTGTGCTTAATTTTTTTATTGGATAAGAAATATTCAAATTAGGTTATAGAAAGCTTGGAATTATATTTATTTTATTTGGTTTCTATATTTTAAATTTACATTAAAGTACTATTATTCATTTTAAATATATTATAAAAGAAAAACTATTTTATTGGTGAAATCGTTCTTTTATTTCATAAATAAATAAATATAAGGAAAATCAATAATTATTTATCTGTGAAGCGAATATACGGTCTGGTGTTTAGCTGCGTGTAACATAAAAGTGGCATCCACATTACATCATATTAGGAAAGGTCTTGATAAACATTTTATTCGCCGTAAATCTTATAAAAAAAAATTTTGGCTGAAATTAAGTTTGGTTCATCATAAATTAGGTAAAATTCTGATTGGTTCGGATTGTCCGGAATTTACTTTAAATATATTAGATCTTCAATGTCCATTATTATTGTAATTATTTCTTGCATAAAATTAATTTTAAATCTAATTTATCAGAAGCTCTTGGACAATTACTTAAAATTGGAACGGATTATAATGTTATCATTCAAGTAGGAGAAGGATTTAATTTTAAGGAATTTCATGCGCATTCTATTATCTTATGCTGTAGGTCAAGATATTTTAATAAAATACTTTCTGATGAAAATATTGAAAAAAAAGATGGAAAATATGTAATAAAGAAACCAAATATTTCTTCTCGAATGTTTGATGATATTCTTAAGTAAGTAACCACGTTACCAAATTTCTTGACCATTATATATATATATATTTCCCTTTAAAATAAAATTATATATATATTTTTATTTTTAAAATAAAAATTATATACATATTTTTTTCTTTAAAAATAAAAAATTAAATAAATAAATAAAATAAACGATTTAAGGGTTAGATTTCGATCCTATTTAAACATGAATTTGATTAGAATTTGAATATTCAAATATCTGTCTCTTATACACATCTAGATGTGTATAAGAGACAGTCTTTATACTGATCGAATTAATATTTCTGATAAAACTGGAACTGAACTTTTGAATTTTATGATTGTTGCTGATGAATTAATGTTAGAAAGCTTAACCAAACTTGTCGAAAATTCCTTTATTTATAACTATCGACAATTCTTACAAAATGACCCAGTTGAAATTCTTCAAATTGTACATTATCGTGAAGTATTTGATAATTTACGAAACTTTTGTTTGAATAAAATTTGTTCTAGACCAAAACTTTTATTCAACTCTGATAAATTTACTCAACTATCTGCCCCTTTACTGGAAATTGTTTTAAAACGGGATGACCTGAATTTAAGAGAAATTGAAATTTGGAGATATATAATTAAATGGGGATTAGCACAAGATCAGATACTTAGTCAAGACGTCTCTAAATGGAACATGGATCATATTAATATCCTTAAAAGGATTCTTTACAAATTCATTCCTTTAATTAAATTTCATGAAATTTCTAATGAAGATTATATTAGTAAAGTAAAACCTTATGAAGAAATTTTATCTCAAGAATTAAGAGATGAGATATTAAGAAATTACAAGATTCCTGGACGTAAACAAATAACCGACTTAATATCAACCGATCTCTTAGAATCTGTTTTAGTTAATCGAAGGCACATTGCACTAATAGTAAGTTGGATTGATAAAAAAAGAGGAAAGAATAAATATAAACTTAATCTTTTATATAGAGCTAGCAGAGATGGCAATACACCATCAGTATTTCATGCTAAATGTGATAACAAGGGAGCTACTATAATAATAGCAAGGGTCAAAAATTCAAAACAAATAGTTGGAGGGTATAATCCACTTTTTTGGGATTCAAGTAATAGTTGTAATTCTACGAAAAATAGTTTTCTATTCTCATTTACGGACAAAAATGATCTTCAAAGCGCAAAAGTAGTTTACAGTAAAGGTGATCTGAATTCTATACGATCTTATTCACAATGGGGTCCTGTATTTGGTACTGATTTACATGCGGCTTATATTCCCACTATTGATTCTTGGCGTGCTAGTGTATGTTCTTATCCATCACTAAATTTGCCAAGCATATTTAAAATAGAGGATTATGAAGTATTTCAAGTTCATATTAAATAGGGTTGTATTAAGACATATGATCAAGCGATTAACCAATATTTTTTATTTATTTACTTATTTGTGATATTAAATAACATAATAGTACCTTAGCATTTTTTTATTTATTTAATATAAATATAATAAAATGATTATTTTACATCTGCAGATCGGATGTATGGTGAGACTTTATTGATCAAAAATGGAGGAAAGGTGCCTTAGTACAGTACATAATCGATTTTATCCAAACAATAATCAAGGATATGATTTTATTTGTATGTTGCTTCAGCAGTGTTTTTTATATGGGCAAGGTAGCAATAAAGATTATGATTAAAATTTCATTCATTTCGCAGACATAAATCATGATTCGGAAAATATTGTATCTATTCTACCATTTTTCTATAATCCCGACATTACTACATTTCATAAAATTACGTAAATAAATGATGCAAAGCAAACTATATAAACTAGTTTTATTCTATTAACAAATCAAAAATAATTTTTTTTGAAGTTCATGTGTAATAAATATATCAGGAACATCTTTGATTTTACCCGTATGATTTGGGGCACCAGATTTACCGCAGATATACACAATGTGGAAGTCCTCTACAAGTTCACCGTCTTTAATGACCACGAATTTCTTGGACGAGTCGATTTCAGCTTTATGAGTGCCACTAAAAGTACTATCCAGATATTTTTCGATTAGGTTTCTCGGGTCATGTGAACGTGTTTTGTAGGCAGGTGAGGAGCGTTCTCGATATTTGCTGAATCTTTGTTGTGTGTGGTAAAATCAAAATCGAAAGTTGGATGAATGTGCGTCCGAGAATGAAATCGAATCGTGGATGTCTCTGGAAACATCGTAACAGAACATTATCTTTGTTCAGAACGGGAGGATTTTGTAGCATTTTGACATATTTAAACTTAATGACCACAGGATTATTTGTTCACCCACAAAGTTAGTTGCATTAAGAGTCACATCTGGAAAGCGTAATAGCTGTTGAAAAAAAACATCTTCAAATTGCATAGGCGACATCGTACAAAATACTACATCTCGAGGAATTGGAATCTTCTTGTAAAATTATAGAAGAGCATGTCTAGCGGCGCCTCAATGCGCTGAGTTGCATCATAGGGTTAAGAAGTGGATGGACTTGGGTTTCGGACGTTAGATTCAAAGAGTGCGCCATGTTTGTCGACTATCATCAGAGTTTTTTCCTCTTGTTGGAACAGGTGGTTAATGATAAAGTTACTGCATTTACTATCACATCTTCGTCATTAATGAAATGTCCAGTTCAAAGTCATTAACCGTTAGAATGTCCTTATTAATGGCAAGAATGCGAGCACAAATTTCTAATGGTATATCGTAACTGGTTTCACAAACCAAATTGTTCGTATCCGAAACGTATAGTAGTAAGAGCCAACCTTCTGAATATGCTTTGGAAACAAGAAAGTATGCAAGGTATGACTTTCCGACGCCCATTATTGGGCCTGCTAAGACTCTTTTTATTGAGCTACTACTGTTACTTGCGAGTTCTTTCCATACTTCTACCATTTGATCCGTTACTAGGAACGGCATTCTCTGATAACCTTCTCAACGTTTTGGTGATTGTACAAGCAAAGGCAGTGTGATTATATTGCATAATTCTATGTTGTCTAGTTGCAATTTGAATTCATTACGTGATGCAGGCTCAAATATTTAATATTGAGGATTTTGACCAACGCAGGCGGCAAGTATCCTTGGCGGTGTATTCCACCCAGTTGGGCCGTTCAAAAAGCTAGCGCATCACGTTCGTGTTGACTAATCATTACAACGCTAAGGCTTGCCTTGATGTCCATCTAAATTGGGTTAGATTATCGAAAAAAAAGATTTAGTCGTAGCGTCAAACAAAAATAACGGCAAATATTTTATCTAACATACCGTATATACTTTTAAGAAAACTCTTTAAAATCTTTGTTGAGATTCTTTTGCTTTATATCTTATAAGGGCCGAAAAAAGTCTCCCTTCTTCTTCATAATTTTTGATTAGATATATATGTAGTCTATCCATCTTTTCTCCCTCAAGTTCAAGGCTGCCAATAATTTTGTAAAATTCAGACATAGCTGCCAAAGATATTCGTGAAAGAAGTAAATATAATAAATGTAAAACGATTTTTTGGAGAGGTTTACATTAAACTTATTGATTATATATATCATTGATTATTATTTGAGAACGCGTTTTGTAAGTCCGAACTCCAAAGTATAAGCTTTTTCAAAAAAAATATTTTTCTTTTCCTTTTTTTCAAAAAGATTAAATGTCTAAAGATTACCTGTCCTTTACATTCTTTAATGATTTTTTTTTGTATTAAATAAATAATTATACGTATCCAAAAATTGGAATTGTATAAGGTACAAGTGGAGGTTCGTTCTATAAATTAAGGTAAGAAAGTTTAACAGAAATTAATTTGCTATCATAATTACGAACTCATTTACTTACTCTGCCTATACGAGGACGTCTTATAAAAAAATTATCATAAAAATAACATAAAACTTCAATCATCTAGTGTAACAAATATTATTTGTTATACAAATTAACATTTTCGTAATACTTCACATGATTGTACTCGATCAATCGGACTCCACAGTCACTAATCATCAACAGCCCTAATTGGTTCGGAGAATTTTGTCCGTAATTTTGCTTTATTAAATATAGATCTACATAAAAAGGGTGCGGATTTCTTTTAAAAAAAAAAATAAATAAAATATTGCGAGTAAAAAAAAATGCCATATAATTATGAATCCGAATTATCTAAAGCGCTTGGACAATTACTCAAAATAGAAACGGATTATAACGTCATCATTCATATTGGAGAAGGACCTAATTTTAAGGAATTTCATGCACATTCTAATATTTTACGCTGTAGGTCCGAATATTTTGATAAAATATTATCTGCTGAAAATATCGAGAAGAAGGATGGAAAATATTTAATTAAGAAACAAAATATTTCTCCTCAAGATTTTAATGCTATTCTTAAGTAAGAAATTGATAGTAAATTATGAAGATTTTCAAACTTTTTTTTTACAAACTTACTTATTTTTTCTTTTTAAATTTTAGGTACCTTTATACCAGTCAAATTGATATTACTGATAAAACTGGAACTGAGCTTTTGAATTTTATGATTGTTTCTAATGAACTAATGTTAAAAAATCTGACTAAATTTATCGAAGATTTTATTATTGAAAATCAACAACAATTCTTGCAAAATGACCCAATCGGAATTTTTCAAATTATTTATTATCGTAAATCACTTGCTAATTTACAAGAATATTGTTTGGATATGATTTGTTCTGAACCAGAAATTTTATTCAACTCTGATAAATTCACTCAATTACCTGCTCCTTTATTGGAAATTATTTTAAAACGTGATGACTTAAATTTAGAAGAAATTAAAATTTGGGAAAATTTAATTAAATGGGGATTAGCACAAGAACAAGTACTTAATCAAGACATCTCTAAATGGAGTAAGGATGATATTAATATCTTCAAAAGAGTTCTTTATAAGTTTATTCCTTTAATTAGATTTTATGATATTTCTTCTAGAGATTATTTTAACAAAGTTAAACCGTATGAAAAGCTTTTGTCAAAAGAACTAAGAGATGATATTTTAAAATCTCATATGATCCCTGAATACAAACCAATATATACGCCAAGGCATTCAAAGAATAATATTAATATTGATTCTGTTATAATTAATCGAGAACACATTGTACTTTTTTCAAATTGGATTGATAAGAAAGAAAATATTAAATATATTAATGATATTCCTTATAAATTTAACCTCTTATATAGAGCTAGTAGGGATGGTAATTCAGCTAAAGAATTTCATGCTAAATGTGATAACATGGGGGCTACCATAGTTATTATAAAAACCAAAAATTCAAATCAAATAGTTGGTGGCTATAATCCACTTCAATGGGATTCAAGTGGTATTCATAAGTCCACGAAAGATAGTTTTATATTTTTATTAGCAGATCGAACAAACCTTCAAACTGCTAAAGTAGGTTATAGTAATGGTGATAAATATTCTATAGTTTGTTACTCACATACGGTCCCATACTTTGGTTATAATAATTTATACTTAGAAAATAGTAGTTGGATTTGTAACCCAGTTAAAGAAAATAATCAATATTCATATCCTGAACTTGATGGTATGAGAGGAACTTATGATGTTGATAATTATGAAGTTTTTCAAGTAATGAAGCAATAATTACTTTTAATTTTTTTTTTTGAAAAAAAGATTGAATATTTTGAAATCTTTATTTTGTATTTAAATTATTTTATTATCCATAAAATATCTACTTTTTTGGAAAAAATCTAGTTTGTAATAATATTTTTTTTTCTTCAATAATTTAAAAAATGTTTTTTTTTCATTATGGTATAGCCGGTCTCATTGGTCAATTACGACAAGAATGTAATGGCATAAAAAATTTGGCTTCATCATTTTATTATCCTATTGATTTTATTCTTTCTGTATTGATTCATTTTCATTTAATCCATTATTATATTAATATGAAAATATTTTTACTCATCTGTTAATCGAATGTTAGTACGTAATTGATTATTTGTAAATTTAAAATATTAATTAAATGAATTCTGATATTATATTTCAGAAAATTGTAAATTATTATTTTCGTTATAAAATGCAAGTATTCGTGTAAATTTACAATCCTGATTACAATATTCCATTCTTGTCAAATACAAAAATGTGGTTATAAAAAAAGAATGATAATGGTACATAAGAATAGAACTAAATATCAATAAAGAAGATGTTAGCCGAATAACATTGGAAGATAAGTCAAGGGTACAAACATTGGGTACAATTACTATTAAAGTATGATTTGGAAATAAATATGAAAGATATCCGAGATAAGAGGATAAAAAATTTACCGATGACCTTATTTTTGTATGGAAACAATTATGATAAAGAAAATAAACCTTTTGATTTCTTTGAATTAATAAAATAATAATTTCATTACTTTATTTTAAAAGTAGTTCAATAAAGTATTCTAAACTAATAAAATTAAAATTAAACAGAATTAAATAACGCAAAAAAAAACTGTAATAATTTAACTTACAATTAAGTAAATATTTTATATTAAGTAACCTAACAAGAAAATTTTAAAAAAATTATTAAAAGTTTCTTTCGCATTTTTAAGATTTTAAATTTCCATCCTTTCTTGACTACTTATTAATTGATTATTTGATTCCATAATATTTTCAACAGAACAAATAATAAATTTAATAAACCAATATTGAACTCTAAAAGTCATTTATTTCATGGTTGAAAATGAGAAAAATTATGAAATTTACTAGATAGGATATAATGTTATAAGTTTTAATCTTCTAAATATTGATTACAATAATATTTAAGATATAATTTATAATACAAAGTTATTCTATAGATAGAGTTCAAATCTAACAATTTATTTTGCAATAGGAAAACATTACAAAGAGTTAATTTTGGTGCTGATATTTAATGTGTATATTTCAAGAAAAGTAATTTTATAATAAGCTATTCTTAGTATCAAATATATCTCTTAATACAGTAATTTTAACTCTATGATTCAAAATCATGAAGTTCATCTACTTACCAAAATCGTGAATAATATGCACTGTATATATTTTATAAAATTTGTCACAGTATTTAACTTATGAGTAGCGTATAAGAGAATTGAAATATTAAATATTTGCATCCTTATTAAGTTTTTGATTTTTAAAATGTACTATATATTGTAAATATAAACGGAAGTGTATAAAGAAAATCGTGTCGACCAAAGTCAATTATATAAAAAATGTGATATTTATAGCTTATTAATTATAACTTAAAATTGAAAGTTTTTAAAAAAAGTCGGAACAAATAAACGAAGAATAATTACAATTCCAATTGAAAGAATTATTCTAATTTCTGCAAAAGATAATTTTTATATTCTCGCTTACAAATTTGGGTAGAAGGAAAAGGATATCAAAATCTTGATCAATTTTTTTATGCTCACATTCATATATACAAATTACATAAAAAATTTCTACAAAGAATATTCTACAGAGACGTATAATACTGACTGTCACCTAATTATAATGATCAATAAAACATAAATATAATGGATTATTTCGTATAGTCATATGGATATCGATCATACTTTACATAATTTCTTTTTATATTCTTATTAGTACTATAAATTAATTTAACTATTAATACTACCTTAGAATTTCCATGATGTTTAATGAACTAGTACTAATTTATTGAATAAAATAATGGGATTTAAAAACGGGTTAATTTAAAATAATATTGCGGACAACTTAAAACATTTCGTCAATGATTACGACAATTCTGGCCGAGATTATCAGAAATTTTAGCCGAAATTGACCTTCAGTACAAATTACGTGATCATTTTTTAATAATTTAATTGGTTCGGAGAATTTGTCTATTTTGTCTGTAATTTTACTTTATAAAACAGCGATCTTCAAAAAAATCTCTTTCTTTCTATTTTTGCGCAAAAAAATTTTCATTGACAAATTTCGAATAAAAATGACTTATAATTTTGAATCTGAATTATCCGAAGCGTTTGGTCAATTACTCAAAATAGAAACGGATTATAATGTTATCATTTACATTGGAAAAGAACCTAATTTTAAGGAATTTCATGCCCATTCTTATATTTTACGCTGTAGATCTGAATATTTTAATAAAATATTATCCTCAAAGAATATCGAAAAAAAGGACGGAAAATATATAACTAAATTAACAAATATTTTTCCACATGTTTTTGATGCTATTCTTAAGTAAGTAGCTGTTCGGAACGTTTTTAAACTTTTCAATTATAAGTTTTATATAATTACTAATACTTTCTCATATTTTTAGGTACCTTTATACTGGTAAAATTGACATTGTTAATAAAACTGGAATTGAGCTATTGAATTTTATGTTTGCCTCTGATAAATTAATGTTGAAAAAATTATCTAAACTTATTGAAGACTCTATTATTAAAAATCAACAACCATTCTTGCAAAGTGACCCAATTGGAATTCTTCTAATTATTTATTATTGTAAATCACTTGCTAATTTACAAGGATATTGTTTGGATAAAATTTGTTCTGATCCAGGAATTTTATTCAACTCTGATAAATTCACTCAATTACCTGCTCCTTTATTGGAAATTATTATAAAACGTGATGACTTAAATTTAGAAGAAATTGAAATTTGGGAAATTTTAATTAAATGGGGATTAGCTCAAGAGCAAGTACTTAATAAAGACATTTCTAAATGGAACCATGATGATATTAATATATTTAAGAAGATTCTATCCAGATTTATGCCTTTGATTAGATTTTATGAAATCTCTACTGAAGATTATTTTAACAAAGTTAAACCCTATGAAGATATTTTTTCTAAAGAATTGAGAGATGATATTTTAAAATTTTATATGATTTCTGGATATAAACCAAAATATACACCAAGGCATCCAAAATGTGATGTAGACTCTATCATAATTAATCAAAAGCACATTACACTCTTTGCAAATTGGATTGATAAAAAGAAAGAAAATGACGAATATAATAATGATATCCCTTATAAATTTAATCTCTTGTATAGAGCTAGCAGGGATGGTAATACAGCTGCAGCATTTCACGCTAAATGTGATAACAAAGGAGCTACTATAGTTGTATTAAAAATTACAATTTCAGAAAAATTAATTGGAGGATATAATCCACTTTTTTGGGATTCAAGTAATGGTTCTAAGCCTACAAAAGATAGTTTTATATTCTCATTTACGAATAAAAATGATCTTCAGAATGCAAAAGTAGTTTACAGTAATGGTGGTCGATATTCTATACAAGGTTATAAAAATTATGGTCCAATATTCGGTTATGGTGATTTATATTTAAATTTTAGTAAAGGACCTAATGTTTGGAACCATAGCCATAGATCTTCAAATTCTTATCCTTCACTGGATTTACCAGATATTATTGATGTAGATGATTATGAAGTATTTCAAGTTATTAAAATATAAATATAATAGTTAAATTATATATATTATTGTTATACATTTTAACGTATAGTTACTTTATATAAATTATATATTATAAGTAAACATTTATTTTATATGTATATATATTCAAAAAAAATAAATTATTATAACTTATTGGAAAGTCAAGAATATTTAAAATTATTCATCTTTATTTTGCAGTTATTTCTTGGCAGATTAACAGCAGTCTTTTATTAATGATGTGTGTTAATTATAACTGTAGTCATTAATAATGAATTGTTTAGTAATCAACTAATCATTAAAAATGTGCCGATTTTTAAATTTAAGTTGAGCGAGTTAGAATCTCCAGGATAATTTAAATTATCATTAAAAAAAAAATTATGATCATGCAAATAACGTTGAACACAGAATTTTATAAGCAAAGGAATATTACCTTGATCCCATTATCATAAATTAAATAAAAAGTGCGTGAAGCGACTGATACATGAATATCAACTATGCTTTACATAATTTCTTTTTGTATTCTTATCACTAAAAATTGAATTTAACAACTAATAATACTTTCTTTAGTTGATAAATCAATAATGGGATTTAGTAACGAGTTAATTTTTCGCCGATGATAACGACAACTTTGGCCGAGATTATAGTCAAAAATTTTAGCTGAAATTGATCTTAATTTCAGCCCGATTGCGTACTATGGGCGGATTTGAGTCATTTGACTCACTTGATGATCGGAATGTCGATCAACTGACATCAAAAAATCATTTTTTATAATATAATTGGTTCGGAGAATTATGCCCATTCCGTCCATAATTTTACTTTATAAACAAATTGCTGACAGGGCGTCAGGGGGTTCTAAACTGTTCAATATGATTGAATTAGAAACAGGAATTGTAACTGAACATTTATTGTTAAGAATAATACTAATAAATAACTATACATTGTATTACAAATGTTAAATTCTGTATTTATAAAATGAATGTTTTTGGTAAAATCTTATAGTTTGCCAAACCATTGACAAATCCACCATCTAATCCTTTGGGTTTGACTTGCGATAATACAGATACTGCTGATGGCATATTTTTTTTTTCTTTCTTAAAAAAAAAAATTCTAAAGTGCTATGAAAAGAAATGGTTTAGATATATATATTATTGGAAAAAAAATTTTTTTTTAATATATAATTTAATTATTTATTATCGTTATATTATATTATTTTTTTAAATTATTTAGATCATCTAAAAAAATCTTTCGTAAAATTGTATGTTGATCATTTTAGTACGAAAAAAGGTCAAAAACAATTATAATTATGATTATTTAATAAAAAAAATCTTAGTTTAATTTTAGTGTGCGTGGGAAGAAAGATCTAAACATTTTAGATAATTATTTGGGAAAAAATTCTCATATTAATTTTAGTATGATCTTGAATAATTGTACGATAATTATAAAAAATTTAGATAATCATTTGGGAAAAAAAATAATCTGTTTTATTGTAGTAAGACTCCAAACGAAAAAAGATTTTGAACAATTATAATTATGTCTTTTGTTTTTTATTATTAATTTTGGGAAAAAAATTCTCATATATAAATAAAATAATAATTTGTTTTATTGTACTTTTTTAATTGTTTAGATTATTTGAAATAAAATCTTTCGTGGTCATTTTAGTATGACTCTGACGAAAAATATACAATTATAATTATGACTTGTTTTATTTAAATAAATAATACAGTATCTTAGATAAGACTTATCATTAATTTTTCAGATAAAGATTTTTATATTTAATAAAAAAAAAATCCATCCTATTGTACTCTAATTATTCATAACAAATATTGATCATCATACAAGACTATAAAAAAGATCATATTTTTTTTAAATCATAAATTTTTTAAATAATATTTTATTTTTATTCATTTTCTTTAGTGAAAACATTATTTGATCTTATTGTATGACAAAGAATCATATTTAATTGTATAAAATACATGATTATGCAATTTTTAAAAAAAGAGAACTCATACTATCTTTTTTTAGTTTAGTTAAATTGGAATTTTAAGAATAATATGCTTTTAATTACCTAATTTAGTTAATAAAGATTATGCAAAGTTATTGTGTATTAAAAAAAAAAAATATCCCATGATTATTTTTGGTATAATTGATGGTCATTTTGGCTTAATTTTTATGACGAAAAAAAGTATTTAAATAATTTTTTTTTTTTTACAATAATAATAATAAATTACAATTGTTTTAGTTACTTCTTTTAGCTAACTTATTAAAGATAGTTTAAAATCACTATCCCACAATTTTTACAAAAAAAGAAAAATACTATATGGACGCACCTCATCCGGGTGGTGGGTAGGTCGACTAGGTCGTCATGCTAAATATCAAATATATATATATATTGCACATATATATTAGATTTGCCACTGAGTGATTTCCTTTTTATTGTCTGACATTCAGACTTTATTTAAATCGATCAACAAATCTTTTATAGTGATCAAAAAATTCTTTTTTTTTTTTCTTTTTTTCTCAAAAAATTTACATTGAGAAATTTCAAATAAAAATGACTTACAATTTTGAATCTGATTTATCTGAAGCGTTTGGACAATTACTCAAAACAGAAACGGATTATAATGTTATTATTCATATTGGAAAAGAACCTAATTTCAAGGAATTTCATGCACATTCTTGTATTTTACGCTGTAGATCCGAATATTTTAATAAAACATTATCCGCTGAGAATATCGAAGAAAAAGATGGAAAATATATAATTAAATTACCAAATATTTTGCCACGAGTTTTTAATGTTATTCTTAAGTAAGTAGCTATAGAACATTACTTAAATTTTCAATCATTTTTTTTTTTTCTTTCTTTTTTTTTATAAATTTTACCTAATAATGTCTTTTCATATTTTTAGCTATTTTTATACTGATAAAATAGATATTGCTAATAAAACTGGAACTGAGCTATTGAATTTTATGTTTGCTTCTGATGAATTAATGTTGAAAAAATTAACTAAACTTATCGAGGATTCTATTATTAAGAATCAACAACAATTCTTGCAAAATGACCCAATCGGAATTTTTCAAATTATTTATTATTGTAAATCACTTGTTAATTTACAAGAATATTGTTTGGATAAAATTTGTTCTGATCCAAAAATTTTATTCAACTCCGATAAATTCACTCAATTTCCTGCTCCTCTATTGGAAATTATTTTAAAACGTGATGACTTGAATTTAAAAGAAATTGAAATTTGGGAAAATTTAATTAAATGGGGATTAGCTCAAGAGAAATCACTTAATCAAGACGTCTCTAAATGGAATCAAGATGACATTAATATGTTTAAAAGAATTCTGTATAAATTCATTCCCTTAATTAGATTTTATGAAATCTCTACTGAAGATTATTTTAACAAAGTTAAACCCTATGAAGATATTTTTTCTAAAGAATTAAGAGATGATATTTTAAAATTTTATATGATTCCTGGATACAAACCAAAATATACACCAAGACATCCAAAATGTTATGCAGACTCTATTATAATTAATCAAGAGCACCTTATAATTTTTACAGATTGGATTGATAAGAAAAAAGACGTTAAATATATTTATAATTTTAATCTCTTATATAGAGCTAGCAGGGATGGTAATACAGCCAAAGCATTTCATGCTAAATGTGATAACAAAGGAGCTACCATAGTTGTAGCAAAAATTACAAATTCGGAACAAATAATTGGAGGATATAATCCACTTTTTTGGGATTCAAGTAATGGTAATAAGAATATAAAAGATAGTTTTATATTCTCATTTACGAATAAGAGTAATCTTCAGAGTGCAAATGTTGTTTACAGTATTGGTAATTGCCACGTGCAGTGTTATCCAAATCGTGGCCCAATATTTGGTAATGATTTAGGTTTAAATTTTTCTAGCGGTCCTAATATTTGGACCTATTGTTGGTATTTACTAAATTGTTATCCTCCACTGGACTTACCAAATAGTATTAATGTAGATGATTATGAAGTATTTCAAGTTATTAAAAGATACTAGTTAAACTATATTTAATGTATAGTTGCTTTATTAAATTATATATTATGAGTAAATATTTATTTTATAAGTTTTTCTTGAAGTACCAAAAGATGAATTATGATATCTACTGAAAAAGTTAAGAATATTTAAAATTATCCATCTTTATTTTTGCAGTCATTTCTCAATAGAATCAGCAGTTTTTCATTAATGATATGTGTTAATTATAACTAATTCTAGTAGTCATTAATAATGAATTGTTTAGTAATCATTAAAAATGTGCGATTTTTAAATTTAAATTGAGCGAGGTAGAATCTCCAAGATAATTTAAACACAAAGAATTTTATAAACAAAGGAATGTTACAATATATAAATAATATTTCCACTTAATATTACTAATTTTTTTTTAAAAGGAAGTTACCGTCAGTAAGGTTAAATTTTTTTACAAAATCTTATACATGTGTGGTTTTGGGTAACGTCAAAATTCGATACTAACGAACATAATGATGAAAGTTTTATTAATCAATAAATGGATGTATATCAATAGTGAAATGTAGCATATTACCTCGATCCCATTATCAAAAATGCATCTATAAATTAAATAAAAATGCGTGAAGCGACTTATACACGGATATCAATACTACCTTAAAATTACTATGTTATTTAATGAAAAATACTAATTTAGTTGATTAATCAATAATGGGATTAGCAACGAGTTAATTTAAAATAATATTGCAGACAACTATAGCAAATATTTCGTCGAGATAACAACAATTTTGGCCGAGGTTATCAAAATTTTAGCTGAAATTGATCTTAATTTCAGCCTCTATTACGTAATCATTTTGATAATATAATTGGTTCGGAGAATTATGCCCATTCTGTCCGTAATTTTACTTTATAAAATAATGATCTTCAAAAAGTTCTTTTTTTTTTCTTTTTTTTTCTCAAAAAATTTACATTGAGAAATTTCAAATAAATATGACTTACAATTTTGAAACTGATTTATCCGAAGCGTTTGGACAATTACTCAAAATAGAAACGGATTATAATGTTATTATTCATATTGGAAAAGAACCCAATTTTAAGGAATTTCATGCACATTCTTGTATTTTACGCTGTAGATCCGAATATTTTAATAAAACATTATCCGCTGAGAATATCGAAAAAAAAGATGGAAAATATATAATTAAATTACCAAATATTTTGCCACGAATTTTTAATGTTATTCTTAAGTAAGTAGCTATAGAACGTTACTTAAATTTTCAATCATTTTTTTTTTCTTTTTTTTTTTTTTATAAATTTTACCTAATAATGTCTTTTCATATTTTTAGGTATTTTTATACTGATAAAATAGATATTGCTAATAAAACTGGAACTGAGCTATTGAATTTTATGTTTGCTTCTGATGAATTAATGTTGAAAAAATTAACTAAACTTATCGAGGATTCTATTATTAAGAATCAACAACAATTCTTGCAAAATGACCCAATCGGAATTTTTCAAATTATTTATTATTGTAAATCACTTGTTAATTTACAAGAATATTGTTTGGATAAAATTTGTTCTGATCCAAAAATTTTATTCAACTCCGATAAATTCACTCAATTTCCTGCTCCTCTATTGGAAATTATTTTAAAACGTGATGACTTGAATTTAAAAGAAATTGAAATTTGGGAAAATTTAATTAAATGGGGATTAGCTCAAGAGAAATCACTTAATCAAGACGTCTCTAAATGGAATCAAGATGACATTAATATGTTTAAAAGAATTCTGTATAAATTCATTCCCTTAATTAGATTTTATGAAATCTCTACTGAAGATTATTTTAACAAAGTTAAACCCTATGAAGATATTTTTTCTAAAGAATTAAGAGATGATATTTTAAAATTTTATATGATTCCTGGATACAAACCAAAATATACACCAAGGCATCCAAAATCTAATGTGTACTCTGTAGACTCTATTATAATTAATCAAGAGCACCTCACACTCTTTTCAAATTGGATTGATAAAAAGAAAAAAGATGACAAATATATTAATGATACCTCTTATAATTTTAATCTCTTATATAGAGCTAGCAGGGATGGTAATACAGCTGCAGCATTTCATGCTAAATGTGATAACAAAGGACCTACTATAGTTGTAGTAAAAATTAAAAATTCGGAACGGATAGTTGGAGGATATAATCCACTTTTTTGGGATTCGAGTGGTGGTTTTAAGATTACAGACAATGGTTTTATTTTCTCATTCTCTGATAAAAATAATCTTCAAACTGCGACAGTCGCTTATAATATTCTTAGGACACGTTCTATATATTGCCACAAAACATGTGGTCCAGTATTTGGTTGTAATGATTTATATATAAATTATAGTATTAATCCTGTTGATGTTTGGTGTAGTACCTGTACAAGTTGCTATCCTACATGTAATTTCCCAAGAAAAATGTATGTAGATGATTATGAAGTATTTCATGTTATTAAAGATAGTTAAATTATATTTATTATATAGTTGCTTTATTATAAGTAAATATTTATTTTATACATTTTTCTTGAAGTATTAAAAAGAGAATTATGATAACTTACTACTGGAAAGTCAAGAATATTTAACTGTTAATTCTAGTCATTAACAATGATATAATCCTAATTGTTTATACAGTAGTGGTCATAAGTATCCCACCCCTCATAATTTTTAAAATCAAATAATAACACCTATTAAAATTTTTTGGGATTCAGTATAATACTAACCTTGATCACGTGTAAAATTTTAAGTTCGTATGATGTATATTATAGGAGTTAGATGATTGGTGAATTTTTAGCTGCAAAATGCTGATCTTTTTTAATAAATAATATTTTGCACGTAAATATTCAATAGTACTAAAGCGAAATTTTGAAAAAATAGTTACTTACATTCATTATAGTTAGGATTATAATTTTTTATTTGGCCAAAAATACCATCAAAATAAAGACATAATAATGAAAAAAATCATGCTATCTATAAAAAATCCGTTATTTTAATCATTTTTTTAGCTCTGAGATTTAGTAAACCAATTTTTACTTAAATAAAGTTTTGACACTCATTTTATGCATAGTACCTATAAAGGAGATCTCTTGGCTTATTCCTATGATATTTTTAGCAAATATAACTTAGAATGAACCTTGCATAAAGTTGATAATTCAAAACACAATCAAAAATTATGAATAAATAAAAGGAAAAATATGATATAATTGAAATTTCCCAAATATGTATTTTATCTGGTAAAAAATTTAAGGAAAATGTGTAGTAACTCTTGAAATTAATATATTCAAAAAAAAAATTTATATATTTAGAAGACTAAGGCATGAAATAATAAAGGAATGAAAATATATGTGTAAAAAAAAATAAAATTTTTAGAGACACAAAATTTACTGATCATCTAACTCCTAAAATATGCATCATACAAATTTAAAATTTTACACACGATCAAGGTTAGCATTATACTTGAATCCCAAAAAATTTTAGTGGGTGTTATTAATTGATTTCAGAAATTATGAGGGGTGGGATACTTATGACCACTACTGTAATTTTATTGTAAAGATAAATTTCTTGCACACGTATAGTTTTGAGTTAGCGTTGGAGTTCGATACTAACGAGCATTAATGATGTATATTTTATATATATTAATAATGAAATGTAGCATATCATCTCGATCACATTATCGTCAAAGTATCTGAAAAGTACATGAAGTGTATCCCTATTTCTATATACTTAATAAATAATCTTATTTGTTTAATTACATAGAAAAATTCATCTGTATTAACAGTCTGAACAAACAGGGCGGACATGCTTATTATCATTTTGCCGATCATTTGCCGATCATATATATATTGATTATCACGTTTATTTTGAAGCTCCAAGCAAAATCATAATTGCTAGAAAAATTGTACTAATTATTTTATTTGGTAGTTTGAGATACCCAAAATATACTATAAAATTATTGTGGCAAAAAAAGATAAAGTTAGCTTTTGAGCCGAAATTTTTAATAATTATAGTATTAGCCAATCATATGCCGATCATCTGCTAATTTGACTTTGAAGCTTCGGGCGAAGCCACAGATGTTAGGGCGAAACTTGAAACTTTTATAGTATATTATTTAGGTATTTAAGAATCCATGGCTAAAATAAACATGAATAATTTTTGATAAACAAGAAGTTATCATTAAATACATGGTTGCAATTATTGTAAGATTAACTAATATAAGGCTAATATTTGGTAAAATCTTCATGAACTATTTTATGAATTAATTTATTAATAGTATATAAATAAAGTAAATAAAATCAAAATTTTATACATTATTATGTAGAATTTGTAAAAAAAATAAACTCAACGGTATTTTTTTGTGACAATATTGGACAAATGATCGGCAAAATGATCGGCAATATCGTGATAATATGAGATGTCCGCCCTGTTTTAGTCTGAACCAAGAAATACTGGTTAATAATTAAGAATCTCGCTAGCCATTTGATTTGTGATTGAGTTACATATAGCCCGTGATATAGCTAATAATAATATTTAACGTTAAAGTCAATAAAGTAAAAGAATAAAAGTTGTGTAAATTAAACTTGTATGATCCATAATACTCAAGAAAATTTATAATTTACTCACGAATAAAATTTTACGGTACATGAAAAATTTTATCAATAAACTCGTATATTTTACGAATCACATCTTTTAATGAAACTTGTCTTTTATGTCCTAATTTCTAAACATTCAGAATTTTATTTTAATCTAGCTAAGAAAACATGATTATAACAAAATTAAATTGCAAATTAAAATATCGGATAGTTAAAACGTTTCAACCTACGTGGTTTCTTAGGAGTTGGAGGTCTGTTCAAACGTTTCATGTCTTCAATAGAGTTACTGCGTATGCTGCGGATTTAGCCATCAATACCGCAGTAAAATAAGGTCGTAACTTTCCTGAATAATTCGTAACAAAGTAACAAAAAGCCAGTATAAATTAACGTACATAATTAATTTTATCCTAATTTTTTAATATAATTCAATATTTTTTAAAAAAAGTTAATTTTATTAAAACAAGTAATTCTATGTTCATAACTAATGATTATGATTAGCGTAAATATAAAATTTAATTCTAGAATAAGCGCGCAAGTTTCGTTTAAGGGAGAGTATCTTAGCAATAACACATAATTTTTAAAGAAATACAGCCAGTATACAAAATTTATGCTAAATATTGGTCTGAAATATTAAGCGTAAAAGGATTTAAAATCTTTTCTATGATTTATCATAGAAAACAGGTTTACTTCTTTTCTTAAAAGAAGATAAATACATTTACGAATAATAAATTATGTCTATGCTCGGTTATGGAATTGATATGTAGAGTATTATAAATATAAAAATAACAATTACTAATAAAATAAAATAATCATAGTTTAAAATAGTATAATTGATTGTCAGATTTGTTAAATTCAGCAATACATTTTTCAATGTTCATTAAAGGTGCGTGCATAAAAGTCACTTCCATTTTGGGATAAAATTCATACGTGTCATCAAAATTCCATTAACCATCTGCCTTCAACCATTAGTTGATTTGCTTGAATTTTGTATCCACGCTGTAAGAAAAGAAAATGAATAGAAATAAAGAAAGAAATAGCGTTTTAAGAATTTTGTCTGTAATCGGAATATTATCGAGAAGGCTACTTTTACTGTAAATGTTTATGTATAAATTTGATTTAATATGACGAATATTGGTGGACTTATGATTTTTAAATGAATTCAAATATAGTAAAATAAAGTAAAATCATATCGCTTCGTATACTGTATATTGTAAAACTTTCGCTTAGAGCCATGTGAAAATTAACATTGTAACATTGTGACACATGATCCATTTACAGTTTTTGTGGTTTCTAATATGGGTAAAACATTTGATATATAAAATAAGTCCCCTTTTTACAACTAATTTTCTTTTCCTTTTTATCCTCTTCGAAAATCAACTAATTTAGCAAAGACAAGTACCGGATGGATTTTATTTCCACTTTGCGAGATGATGATAGCTTAGTAACTTTGAAAGTTACCGTTAATTTAGTAAACAATATTTCTTAAGCTTCTTCGCACGCGGCACGCTATCAACGAATATGAATCCATCGCAAATTCGCAACTATGAATCTTAATAATTCAAAATTTAATGACTAAATTTTTGAAGCAATTAATTATGAGAGGTAAATTTTTAAACAAATTTGAAATTCGATGAAAAAGTCTTATGCAATATATATGGGTCATTATGTCATTTTTTTTTTCTTTATTGTTAATTATGGTTTTCTTATGAGTATTAATATTTGTTTTAATATTGTATATTATCAAGATTGAAATAAATATTTGTTTAAGATAAAGGAAGAATAAGGTTATTTCGAATAAATGTAAAAATTTCTCAATAAATTAGAAGCGTACAAAAAACAATTTGAATATTCGAAGCAAATTTCTTTAAACAATGCAAAATAAAATTCAATTTCACACCAAATTGGAAGTCTTATAACTTTGAAGATTATACAATATTATAAAAAAATTACGGATCTAGATAAAAAAAAAAAAATCATTTTATAATAACATATTTCTTACCATTTTCTAAATTGGGTAGCTTGGTAAAAATCCTTCCATATGAAAATAAAATTTTTCGTAGTTTAATTAATATTCTTAATTTTTAATCTTTTTTTATAGCACAAGCAAAACTAATACTTAAACAATAATTATATTTTAAAATTTAATTATTTATATTTTTGCGGAAAAAACATGCGAACATATTATTATAATTGTAAGTTAAATATGTTAAAAATTACTAATACTTACTCATGATGTAATGACTCACGGCCTGGATTGAAATTTACCCGAGGGTTAATCATATCCGACGGATATAGAAGTTAATCATAATGTTGGCGGAGAATCAATAGTGCTGGCCGACATTGATAATCACATGACTACGACTTGCGGTTCTTATAAACCTGTAAATATGAGTGGTGAATTATACCAACGGATAATAGTGGGTAAACGGATTATCTGACGTTTAATCCGGAATTCCGGATTTATCCGTGACGGATGAAAATTATCCGTTATCGGATTCGGATCAGAATTATTTGGATGGTCGAATTTCGGATCGCTTTTATACGGCAGGTGACATAAACCTATAATATGGTATGTTCAAATAAAGAGATACTCGCGCAAATTGATGTTTTTGTATCTTAAAAATTAACTTATTTCTTTAATAATATGGTCTAAATTTTGCAAATTATTAAAACTAAAATTATATACTAGACATTATTAGTATATGTAGATACGAAATTACGCATGAACACGTAATTTATTTAATTATTTTTATAAATTAATCGTAAAGGACTATGCTAAAAATAACATTAAATTATATTAAAATTTCTATATATTAGTATAAATCTAGAGTCATTTTAAGAGCAATTAAAAATGACTATTATATCAAACTAAATCTAGAGCTACTTGAATATCTATTTTATCAAAAATTCTATTAAAATTAATTTAGAGATTGCTTGAGAAATGAAGATAATAATGGTTATATTTATGTTCAATTGGAAAAGAATATATCATTAACATGATTATAAAGTGTGTTGGTATATATGATGATAGCCTTATTGGATAGGTTTAGGAGAATCGCATATTTCACATTTGCTAGATTTCTCATCAAAATATTGTTTAATTATTACTGCTATTATACTTCCCGCTGCTACAATGATCGCGGTTACTATTGGTACAACAATTACTATAGCTTTTTCATTTTTGCAATTATTAATCGCCGTATTTTTTTCATCAATCGCCTTATTTTTGTCAATAATCATTGCATTTTTTTCTCTTTCACAATCAGGAGCATCAACATATCTAGCATAGCAGAGTTCTCCACTGAAACGGGGGTTAGGACAACTAATGTTTTTGAAGTCACTAACACTAGCTTGTATACGGAATAGATGCTGCTTATCAGTAATAACATTAACGCCGATGTATTTATCAACGTTCAAGTCATTTCTTGTAAAGTTGCGTGCGTCAAAATTACCTCCCCCATTTTGAGATACCACTTGAATCAAAAGAACTGATGCACCACAGGGCATACTATAACGATAAAGAAAATTTATATCAATATTAAGAAAAAATAAATTAAATAAATAGAAGTTATACTTACAAGAGCAGAGTAAAAGTGATGTTTCCACCACTAAATGAATAGAAAGTATCATCAAAATTCCATTTACCATTTGATTTCAAGTCATTAGTAATTTGTTCACACTTGGCATCAACATAGTAAAAATGGAAAATGAAAAAAATGAATGTAAGAAAGAGTGGGTTAAAAATTTTATTCATAATCATGATTTGCTTATGGAGAACAAGAAGCATGTTTTTCAATCAGTTTATATAGAAAATTTTATTAAAGATTCTTTCAACAAGTGACAAATATAGTATTGTTTAATATACCATTTACAGTAACTTTATGAAACATTGTTTTGATTTCTAATTCGACGACTTCAGGAATTCTAGAATAGATAAATAAATAAATATGCAACTACGCCAGCCATTATGATTGATCGTCTGCATGATTCCAGTTACACGACTACGAAAATGTTTTAAGGTAAAAAAATTTGTAATTATCGAGTAGATGTAGGAAATCTTATATTATATATTATCACATTATTTTTAAAAAATGAAATATTAATTCAAACTATTTTTATTTTTCATTGGACGGCAAAATAGTAAATAAATTACCTATAAGGCCATTCCCGTCCTTTCCGGCGAAAAATTTGAGGGAGGAAGGAATAATTTAAACATGATATTTAAAAACATAATAAAAATTTCGAAGCACGGTGCTTTCGCTATGTGCATACCCTGCCTCCATGATACGGCCTACCACATAGAGGTTTTAAATGGTGCATTTCATCAACGGCCAAATAACCCTCGAAAGACCCCCGAATACAGTACCTTTTGCAAAAAAATTCTAGGGGTAATCTGCATGCAGTAAATCAGAAATTTCGATAAAATCGGAATTATCCGGTACCACTGAATTTTAGATAAGAGAGGGCGTTCTTTAAAATTTTCAAAAATAGAGAATTAAAATTTCCACAGTAATTAGACAAACTGCGGTAGACTAAGTGCCACAGCAGCTTTTATATAAAGAAAAAATCCGATAGTTTATTTGGGTACGGAATTCCTTTTTTGGAATTTTTAAGAAACGCCATCCACATGTACTGTGCATATACATAATACATGTACAGTACATGAAAGTGTTGGAATTTTCCTAATTTATAAATTTTTTTTTTTTTTTACTTTTACCAAGACGATATACTATTTGACGAATCAATTTTAATTGTGAGACAGAAATGTTCAATGGTATCATAAAACAAACAAACAAGCAATATACAAGGTGAAATAAATAGAATTATATACAGTAATAACAGTATATCCAGATTTCTAATTGGAAAAATAATAAAATTGAATAAAAAATATAGATACTTATTACGATTAATTTATTTCCTATACTCACGTCATGTCTCCAAATTTATTATTAACATATCTATAAGTATTCATTCACGTTTATTTAAAAAGAAATTTACAAAAATAATTAAAAATTTTATCATCACGATATACATATTTTATTTTTTGATATATAAAACTTGATATTGAGCAACGATATACCGAACTTAATCATATGAATTGAAATTAGATCACGGTCTTGGTACTATCTATAATTTCTATCTTCGTTATCATATTTAGTAAGGATATTTTAATAATAATTAATTGATTTTAAATTTATTTCAATTTTATTTTATAATACAAAATAATATATAATTTTTTATAATCTTAAAATTTTTTTTTTTCAAAATTTACAATTTTCATAAATGTATATTTTTCAGAATAATAATAAGTATTTGGTCGAGCAATTAACTAACTTATTAAGGCTTGCGTTTCACGTGCTTTTTTTTGATTGACGAGCACGTAATAAATTTTGATACCTGTTGATCGTTCACCAAAAAGCATTGTACTGCTATAAATAAAAAAAAATCGCTATATCGAAATTTAAACTAAGTTTGATATTTGATGTTGACTTATTTTACTAAAAAAGCAAATTTTGTAAAATAAAACGAATCGTCGAATCGTGAAAATTATTTTAGATGAGCGCCGTTTCTTTTTTTAATTTTATTTTATATTATATATATATATATAATATATATTTACATTTTTCGTCAAACCACTTAACCACGTCACCTAGTTCGGTCATTAATTACGTGATTTTATATAAAATTAAGAGGTAAAAAAAAAATAAAAAGATTTAACGAAATTATAAAAACTTTTTATGGAAGTGGAAGAAAAGGTATTTTTAAATTGATTCAGTTTTTGGTCTCAGAAATTCACGAACCATTCACAGATTTATTATATTTAACTAGGGGGAAAGCGACTATGAGATCGCTTTAACTTTCCAAAATACCGAAACAAGATGGTATTCAGCAATCCGGAGATTCCTGTTCTGGAAAAAGCAAGGTAAAAATTTTGAGTTCTTCTATGATGGAAGTACACAATGGACTGGCTCCGAAAATGATTTCCGTGACTTATCACAAGATTGGTTTTTAATTAAAGCTAATCAGAATGAAACACTTCAGGAGGTCAGTCGGGTCCGAAAGTGACGCCCGATTTTGTACGGTGTTACGATACACAAAATTTACATTATTTATACCCCCTTTTTTTTATTTTTAAATGTTTTTCTCACAATTTCATAACCTAATAAACGCGTTGCAAAGTTAAAAAAATAATGTCACATAGAACTGAGTTAACTTCTCAAGATAAAGGAAAAATACTAGCATATATGGAGAATTTTAACCCTGCACAAATAGCAAGAAAAATGGGTCGTGACCCCACCACAATAAGAAGAATTATTGACAGATACAAGAAGACAGGGAAAACTGAAAATTTACCTAGATCGGGGCGTCCACCTGCTCTCAATAATAATGAGAAAAATGCACTCATAAACAAAGTTACACAAGATCGATGCGAACCTTTACATGAAGTCATTAATACATTAGATTTAAATTGCAGCCTTACAACTGCTAAAAGAGCATTACATAGTGTTGGAATTTATTCCCATGTTGCTGCAAAAAAACCCTTTATCTCAGAAAAGCATGCATTAGCTCGTATTAGTTGGTGTGAGAAATATAAAGAAAAAACAGCTTATGATTGGGCACAAGTTATTTTCTCAGATGAATCAAGTGTTGAGATTGGCAAGCAGTCACGACAAATAAGAGTTTGGAGACACACAGGGGAAAGGTTTAACACTGAATGCTTGACACCTATCTTTAAAAGTAGTCGAAAATCAGTCATGGTTTGGGGATGTTTTGCAGGAGGGATAAAAGGGCCATTAATTTTTTGTGATGAAAATAAAGAAGGAAATGAAAAAATCAATTCAAATACTTACATTAGAATCCTAAATTCATATCTGTATCCATTTCAGCATACAGTTCATGAGTTAACAGGAAGGGCTGCAATTTTTCAACAGGATAATGCACCCATACATACCGCGAAAATAACCAAGGATTGGTTGAAGAAGAATAAAATTGTGGTTATTGATTGGCCAGCAAATTCTCCCGATCTAAATCCAATAGAAAACATCTGGAAGCAGTTAAAGGACAATATCCAGAGTTGTAAAGTCTTTCCAAGAACTGTGGATGAACTTAAAGTTGCACTAAGTGAAGAATGGGAAAATTTGGATTGCTCCATTTTTGAAGAGGTTGTTGCTTCAATGCCACAAAGAATAAATGCAGTACTAGAAGCAAGGGGAGGGACAACACATTATTAACCATTTTTAGTAATTATTTTTTATGTGAATTTTAATGAAAATCAATAAAGTTTTGCCATTTTTGGCATTAATTTTAAATTGGGCGTCACTTTCGGACGTGACTGTACATAGCTAGTATCGCCCGGGTGATGATGTGGTCATCCAATATTTATAAACTAATGGGATTTGAGATATTGTAGATATTGTGATTCAGGATTCGGAAATTGTATATGTCGGGAAAATGTTTACTTCGGGAAAGGTACTATATTTGATCATACTGTAAGTAACCGTAGTAACATAATACATAACAGTCTGATTAAAATGTGACTATTTTTTTTGTAATTTTAAGTAATTTTTGTTAGGACATAGCAATCAACAATACGACGAAAAATAAGGTTTCTTTTTAAATGCTTTTTCTTTAAATTATAAATTTGTAAATTATCGTAATTATTATGAAAATTTTATTATTGTAAAAGTATTATTTTTCAAACAAAGTATTTTTTAAATACTTAATTAAAGTATGATCATATTTTGATAAATATAAAAAAAAAAAGATTGATATGGTTTAAATACTTAAAAGGTTTTGTAAATTAATTTGGTTGTAAATTAATTTAGTTATTTATATTTAAAAGAATTTTAAATTCATTAAAATTATATTATATTAAATAACATTGAATTCCTATTGTGAATTTTCAGCATATTAAAATAGAATTGAAAAATCATCTTGATGCCATGCCCAAGAGGCGGTACTAGTATCAGGATAAGGTTCATATAATATACCATGTGAAATACCCATTACATTGCCTGCGTTAGTATTTGGATCATAATTTCTTAGCCAAGGACCCCCACTTGAGCCGTAACCAACATCTACATTTATACCTCTATACCACTCGTAATTTGGAAGAGTTGATGGAAAATCAAATGAATCTCCTTGCCACAGACAAAGATGTTGTCCATCTTTGGAACAGTTCACGAAACCACCAGAATTATCATGTGGATAACCAAATACAGTAGTTGGAACATTTCCTTGAGGTATAACGAGATCATAATCGAAAGCCCCTGTATCATCTTGTAATTTTCTTCCTTCTGGGTAATAAAACTTTATAAAGCCATAATCAAACCTTGTAGCGTCTTGCCTAAAATCTCCCCATATAAACGATTTATAAGCATAAACTTTTCCAACTCTACCTGGTACATTATTGTTGTACCCAGGAAAAAAATAAAGATTAGTATTCCACGTCTGAAGATAATAATCAAAAATACAATGTGCAGCGGTAATCGCAATATTTCCATTATTAGTTCTAATTACAGAGGCAGTACAACCATCAATTGATCCGTCTGTTTTTACAATCTCTAAGAGTCCGACAGAATTTATATTATTAATATCATCAACAAAAAAATCTGTTGTATTACTCGTTCTTTCTTCTGATGGAATATCATATGTTTTAATCATAGGTTCCATTTTTGCTCTTTTACTCATAGGTTTAGAACTTGTTGGAAACGCATAACTTGAATTCGTTATGAT